CACCGCTGTCGCCGATGATGAGCAGCTTGAAGAGGTGGTCGTAGTCCCGGGCCATGGCGGGCGGGGGCGGCGCGCGCGGGCGGGCGGGCGCGGTCGGTGCTGGCCTCGCGATCCGCAGCTCCCTCCGGGCTGCTTCGGCAGCGGCGGATCCACTTCCCGAACAAACAGCCGGAACTGACAGAAACACCTCCCTCCGCTCCCCCTCCTCCTCCTCAGCAGCCGCCGCCGCTGCCGCCGCCGGCCTGCTTCCCGCCCCGCCCCACCACTGCGCACGCGCAGCTACAGCACCGCCTCCGCGCAGCCGCAGTTCCAGCCAGCCGCGCCCTCTCCGCGCTCAAGCAGTGCGCACGCGCTCGGGTAGAACGCGGCGGGAGCGGGCGCGTCTTTTCTGTGGTTCCTGTCAAGTGTTGTTGACGCCGCTGCCGATCTAAGGTTCGGGAATCAGATCTGCTGTCCAGTTGAAAGAAACCGAGAGTGCCGGGTCTCCCGGCCATGACCCAGGACCGACTCTCTCCCTCATCTGCAAGACCCCCAGCGCGGCGAAGAGGTGGCTTCGTAGGAGACGCTCAGCCAAGCTCCCGGCTTCTCGTCTCTGGGAACTCGGCAGTGAAAGGCTGAGTGGCATGGCAGACCTAGGCACAGGCCCTCGTCCACTTCTCTTAAGGCCTCCGGCCTCGCAGTGCTACGCGGACACCCCACTCCGTGCCCAGACCTGGCTGGTGGCGAGGACAGGAGTCTTATGGCCTTTGAGGTCAGCTTGGGGTCGATATTGCACCCTAACCCTGTGACCTCCTGGAGCCTCACTGAACTTGAGAACGTTCAAGGACAAGTGTCTTTCCACAGACCGTGAAAATCGTCTTTTGGGGCTTAGAGGGGATAGTGCCTGGCCCCCACCTCTGAGCACATTTACCTTCAGTAACATTGTTTAGATCTCAGTGTTCGTTTGTACTGTGTTATGGGATATATACAATGTATAGATGGCGTATAAACTTTACTGACCTGAGAGGTATCAGTATGTACCAAGGACGGGCAACTTTGTTCCAAGCAGTCAGTTTATAGATGGGCTTTTGCAACCTCACCTGTTTGTACATTAGCAACTGCTGTGGGGAGGCTTTAAAGGTGGTTGAGCAGAAGAGCAGTATCAAATTTATTTTAAGAAAGTGCTCTGCAGGATGGATTTCAGCAGCAAAGCTTTGATGAAGTTAGTGCTGTGATCCAGTCTCAAGTCACCCAAGGCAATGACAACCAGATATGGAAGCTGCAGTTTTAAAGATGGTAACAGGATTCGTTCACTAATTCAAGTAGATCTTTGTTTACTCTGTACCAGGCATTGGTTTGGGTACAACAAAGCCCTAGGGTCCTTATGTAGCTTGTAGTTAGGTAAGAAAAGTCATTCATTCCACAAATAATGGATGGCCTATTCTGCCTCAAGCACTAATCTCGGAGTTGTTGTTGTTAGTGTCCTCTAGTCATTTCTGACCCATAGGGACCCTGTATAAGGTTTCCAAGGAGCAGCTGGTGAACTTGAACCACCAACCTTGCAGTTCAGGGTTGCAGTATGACTCATTAACTCACAGCACCACACCAGAACTCCGATCTAGGAGCTGAGGAGTTAGTAAATCTGGTGTGACACTGTACTATAACCGCAGGACTCCAAGGTGGGTTTGAGCCACAAGGTCAGCTGTTCGAATTCACCAGTTGCTCCTTGGAAACCCTATGTTAGGTTGCTATGAGTTGGAACTGACTTGACAGCATTTAACAACAGAACTTAAAAAAGCCCCTGCTTTCATACTCTGTTAGGGAGTATAGACAACAAGTAAACATAATATAGGTCTAAAGAATCCTGGTATGGCGCTGTAGGACAAGGACTGGACCACAAGTTTGGTTTGAATCATAAGTCTGTGGTTCAAACTCATACGCTGCTCCTCGGAAACCCTATAGAAGGTTGCTTTAAGTTGGAACCTGAACCCACTCGATGGCGCTTAACAACAACGAGAAAAATGGACTCCTGGTGTGGCACTGTAGGATAAGCACTGGACTGCTAATCACAAGGCTGATGGTATAAAGCTGATCCTCAGAAACCCTATACAACAGTGTCATTGTGAGTCAGAATCGATTTAATGGCATTTAAGAACAATACAGGGTCACTATGGGTCAGAACCAACTCGACAGCACTTAACAAGAAGAGAAAAATACAGCAGGCTAAGAGGAGCAGCAAGTATACAGAGGTTTAATGGGAAGTCACGTGGCTGATGTCTACTATTCATTCAAGAAGCTTGGCAGTGAGTGAAAAGAAATACAGTGGTTGGTTGTAAGCACAGTAGAACTGAATGAAGTATGTTACTTATTGTAAATTGCTGTGAAGTCAGTTCCGACTCATAGTGACTATGTATAGGGTTTCCAAGGCTGTCAATCTTTGCAGTTGAAAAGCCTCATCTTTCTCCAAAGGAGTGGCTGGTGAGCTCAAACCATACACCTAGTGCTTTGCAGACCACTGTACTCCCTGAATTAATTTTGAGGGTGCTTCAAAAAGTTTGTGGGAGAAGTGGAACGATAAGACAATGTCAAGTTCCCACTACATTTTGAAGCCCTCATATTTTCCAGAAGAACAAAGGTAGAGGATCAGCAACCACTGAGCAGTAAGAATTGAATATTTGGGGGAGATGAGCTGAATGCACTTTAAAGAGCTTTGGCAAGGAGAGTCAGGAAGTGAGGGGTGGTTAGGGGACAGGGACCAGCAGCGGCAATACCACAACAGACTGACTACAGACGCAGATGAGAATCCAGACGTTGTTGTTGTTGTTGTTGTTGTTAAGTGCCGTCAAGTCGGTTCCGACCCATAGCGACCCTGTACAGGGTTTCCGAGGGTGTAAATCTTTACGGGAGTAGAAAGCCTCATCTTTCTCCCGCGGAGCGGCTGGTAGTTTCGAACCCCTGACCTTAAGGTTCACAGCCCGATTCGTAACCACTATGCTACCAGAGCTCCTTCTGCCGTTTCTTCTCAACTTTGTTTATATAAACTGGGAAACAGTTATATTTGTTATGGCTATTTATGCTAAGGTACCAGTAAGTTTATACTTACATGAATGGATACTTTAAAATTTTTTCTGTTCTCATTTCTAAGATGATGAATATTAATGAGCAAAATGCACATAAACAAGATCTCTTTGGGCTCAATGCATTCTCAGAGGGCAAAGGAGTCCTGAAGCCAGGCCAGGAGTTAAGAACCACTAGATTAGTCATTGCTGCCCCCCAGCCTGTGTAGATTCTGGGGAGAAAGGGTCATGTGACTAGGCGGCATACTTGGGGGGTACGGGGGAGATTTTCTTGCACTTAACTGTCTTGTGCCAGCATGCAGTCTCACCAGAGAAATCTCAGGACACCAGAAAATGACTGGTGTGGCCCATGCGGGCATACTCAGCAGTCTCACCCAGAATCCCACTAAGATAACAATCCTAGGACCCGTTTTTCCAGTTCCATAGGCTTTGTTAACGTCAACATCTCCCCTTCTAGTGCATGCAGGACGAACTCTATTAACTGAGGGGACAGCCAAGAACCACTCAGAAAAATAACTGGGTGCCACCTCTTTAGACCATGAAACCTAACCACTCTGCAGAGTCCCCTGCTGAGAACCTGACTAGTCTCTGTTGAGTTCACCTACATTATTTTTAGACTGGCCCCTGGGGCTTAGTGACCAGAGAATCCAGAAATGTGGGGTTTTCTCCAGTTCTTCTGCCAACTGGATACATGACCTTAGAGACACTTCTATCTGGACATCAATTTTCTGATCAAAACAAGGACAAGGCCCTCCTGACCCCCTCCCTGCACATCCGGAGTACTGACCTCCCCAGGGACAGCCTGAGCCATCCATCTGTGCACCTCTCAGTCAGTGTTAAGTACTCATTGTCATTCTCAATGAGCCCTTCTCTCTGTTTTTTAGGAGATAAAAGAAATCCTGATTTTCAGTTTTTCTAAAAATCTAACAATCCATGTGTGAAGTCTGGGTCCAACAAATAATTCTGGAAGCATAGAGCAAGGTACTTGACACCTCCCACGCAGTAAAGAGGTACTCAATCATTCGTCCTCTCTCTACGGACTGTCTGCATTCTGCTCACATTATTCAGGTACCAAGGCTGGCACTGTGCTGAGTTTGTTTCTTCATTCAATCCATGTGACAGCCCTGTGCGATCTAGTCAGATGAAAACACGGGCTCAGAGAGGTTAAGTAACATGCTCTAAGTCATAACACTTTAAAGTGAAGGTTCAAAGCTGCCTCCAAGTCTGTGTGGCCCCACTGTATTGCACGAACCTGAAAGTACATCTACATTTCCTTTAAAAAAAGATAGTGGAACTCAGACATTTTGGGTTAAGACAGGTTCCTCTCGTTTTAATTTAGATATCTTGAAGCAATTTAAGACACATCCATACAAACTGTACTTAGAAGCAACACATTCCTAAGTGCCAATCTTGTTTCAGCATCTACCCTCAGTAGAACCGTCTGTCTGGATTCAAATACAGTAGCAGTTCCAACCTTGCAGGTCCTATCCTCCATTCTCCCAGCACGGGAACCAAGGGAACTTACGCCAAGGCGCCACTCCTGGAAGGGATGTGAACCATCACACCACCCCAGCTTTAAAATAACCTTGATCCCACAGGCCTCAGGATTCCGTGTAGAGTTGGGGATGGTTTCGGTTTAATTAACCCGTTTTCTTCACATGAGCTACAGGGACATCTGTCACTGGCTTTCAGGGACAGTTCCCTCTCTAGAGGGATTTCCTTCTCTGGAAATCTTGGAGAATAGTTTTAAATCTTTTTTATAGAGTGTCACAACCAGTGTCCTATAAATGGGACGAGAGTGATTCCTTCGGCCTGCAGCGAAGCTGAGTGGGCCTGGGTGAAGGAGCCCCTGGTCCAGTCATCTGAAACTGTGCCATGTTTACCTCACATCTCCCAGGTGTGCCAGGTCGAGAAGTCTCGAGGCACCTTTCTGAATGCTGATAGCACAGCAGTCGGCCCGGTACAGGTCAGGGAGGCTAAGACTGTGTGCTCTGTTACTAGCTGCCGGACCCTAGTGCCTCAATGTCCTACTCTGTAAAATGGCAACAAGAGCGCTGACTTTGTACCTGGCACACAGTAAGCTCAAGAAATGGTATCACTGCCACTGACTCCAAAAGGATGACTCTGAAGACAGACTTTAGAGCTTCCATTGCCAAAGTCTTCATTTTTCAGACAGGAAAATGACACTGGCCCAGGTTTGAGTGACTTGCCCAATGCTAAACAGCTCTATCAACCACCAGGGCACTTCTCTTGTCAGGGTGTCTGGTCTGAGTGCTGTTTTCTAGATCGCTCAGGCCCCATACGTCTTTTTTGCAGACTCCATGGTTGTTTCTGAGTCTTTCACCGCTCACTTCCTGGGAGTTGGCACCCTCCTTCCTGACTCGGAGAATCCAACTCAACATGCTCTGGGGGCCTCTGCGTCATCTCCCTCCGTCTGTGAATCAACCTTCATCCTTCTATTCTGAACAGAGAGAACTCACCCGCCTCCAGTTTCTGGGACTGGAAGCTGGTGTTTTTCCCTTGGATCTTGCTTGATGAGTATCTTCCACCTATCAGTATATGCAGGTCCCCTCTCAGGTCAGACTGGGACTGAACACCAGAGATGGGCACAGGTACCTGTGATCCTGGAGGAAACACTGAAGATCCCATAGGAGTCCCTGCCCAACTTCTCATGGCCTTCACCATGGCTTGCTGGCAGAAGGGAACACATGCAGACAGCTTGCTGGACATGTGCCCCAGGCAGCTGAGAGGAGGCTGCTGACCATCCGAATGCCAGACACGGGCAGTTACCATAGCTACCAGGCTGCAACCATTGGCTGCTGTGGCTATGGGGACCAACTTGGCTGACCTCTCCAGGTCCCTTCCACCCTGGGACTCGAAGATAGCATTGAGCTAGCTGAGCCCATGTCTGCTTCGAGGCACTAGCAAGTCCTGCACATGGAGGGCTCTGGGGCTGGAGAAAGCCAGGGTTTCATCCAAGTGCCTTGGAGGTCACCTTATGTATCACAAGGGCTGAGTCACAAAGACTTCCTTCTACCTCTGCTGCAGTTGTTCAGAAACAGAAGCTGACTTGCTTTGGTACATTTTGTACCTTTTACAGGGTGCACTTGCCCACCCCTTTTCACTCCTCTTACTTTGGCAGCTCTGGCCAGTGACTCGGACGGCAGCTTGTCCCATACCGTGACCAGGGAAACAGCCCAGAACATCTTGCATCACTGGGCCTAGGATACATACACCGTGAGCCTTCTAAGAATCAGGAGGAAGGAAGTCATTCATGAAGAAGGCAGAACAGCCACTCAGGCTTCCTCTTGCAAGTCCTCTGACTGTGGTCCCTTCTTCCCCCGCAGAGGCGATGACTGCTCTTCAAACCTGACTTCCAGCAGCTGCCTGAGTCTGCTGAGAACACAGCAGCCCCCACACCAGGAGACCACAGGCCTGGCTCTCGGGGCCTAACCTCAGGATGATAGGTCTCTAGGTTGTCTGAACAATATGACGGCCAGAACCCTGTGGAGTGGATTCTGACTCCTAGTGACCCTGCAGGAGTGGAACCACCCTGTAGGGTTTTCCAAGGTTGAAACCTTCACAGAAGCACAATGCCCCTTCTTGCTTCTGCAGAGCAGCTGCGGAGTTCAAACCACCATCCCTTCAGTTAGCAGCTGAGTGCTTTAGGCACTGTGCCATCGGGGCTTCTAGAAATCCTACCATTCTGCTAATATTTACAAAACTAGCCACAAACCTTTCCTGTTTCCTGATGCTTGCAGCTTCGTGTTTAATGGACATTTGGCGATGAAAAAAAGCCTGCTTACATCAAGATTCAATCAAAGCCTTTATTAAACCTTCCTCCTTCAAGCAGCCTGCATCTACAGCTGTGCCCCTTCCCAGATATGGGAGTGGCCAGGGCGGCATGGGCATCATCTCCCTGACAGGTCCAGTCCCATCAGGCCACACTACATACCAGCGAAAAGCCAAGCTAGATTCCCCATGCTGGGCGGTCACTGGGTGTTTCTGGGCTCCACTCAGGATCTAGGCAAAAAGGTGCATAGGGCCCACTCTCGAACCCGAGCTCAAGCACAGGAGAAGAAGAATCAGAAGGTTGCACCCCCTTGTTCTAGAGCCGGCCACGCAAAAGCAGGGTGCCACCACGTGATAAGGCGTCCGTGTGTGCTTTTTCTTCTCTTCTCCACAGGAAAGGGTGCAAGGTGGAGGAGGCAATCTTCAGTTGTGTGTTGGTATGATTTAAGGCTTTGGCTGTGGTCTGCTGATACATTACAATACTTCTGGGAATGCCCTCTTCCCAGGCTCCCCGTGGGAACAAACGTATTTTCAAAAATGAAAACACTGAATAGGCTGTGGAGCCGAAAGGTTGACGTGGAACTCAGTGGGTGGGCGGGGCCAGCTGTCAGGTCAGGATGGTGTCATCCACCTGCTCTGTGGAGTCTGCCTGACTGGCCAGCTTCCTCAGTGACCTTCTGTGGCACTCACTCAGCACCTCTAAACTGGCCACGTCCAGGATCTTGGAGAGGGACTGTGGGCCGGAAAGATGGGAGAGAGAGGAGACGTAGTCAGGTATATGGCTGCAAACTTCTTGAATTAAGACCATAACGAACATTAACCTCAGAACCAGCGCCACTAAGGTGGAATATGGCAAAATGAGGAAATAAGATGGGCTCAGGGGAAGCTGAGGACAACGCTCATGTGTTTCAGGTGGAGGCGCGTAGGTAGCTATAGTCCTCAAGCCCTCAGAACTGAATGGACAGGGCTGTGGGCTTCTACATGATCTGGTTTACAGCTCGGGGTGCCATGTCAGGTTTTATTTGAAGACAGCGCTCTGCCACTGAAAGCATTTGGAAACCACAGGAGTGGAGGAGGGCCAGGCACCTGAATCACAATTGCTGCTCAGAACTAGCACCTACAGGGTGACCGAGAAAAGCACGAGGCCTCCGCAATGTCAGAACTGCAAAGCAGCTGCCCCAGGCTCCTACCTCAAACACCTCTTCGCCCTGCCTCATCTTGAGGAGGTTGACAATCGCCTGGTCACTGTAGGCCCTGACGCTGGTGTTTTTATCCTTGGTGTTGTCAAGGAGTGCCTTCAGAATGGGCTTAATGGCCTGGGGTTCCAAGGGAGGTAACGGGTCCTTATTTGCCCACCAGATCATCTTCTCAGCCACCAGTCTGATGTCACTGGATGGGTTCTGCAGACACTGCAGAGAGGAACAGACCGGTGTTCAGTTAGACATACACACACAGCCTGCTTCCCTCAATGCAGAGACACCCAAGTCCCAATCAGACACACTCTTCATCCTGTAAATGGTCCCTCCCACAGGAAGGCGTGCCCAACATCAATGCTGTTATCCCACTTACTGTGCGTCCTCTCCCCTGGCTCACTGCTGTGCCCACAGGATTTCACTTCCTCAAACATGCCACATGCCTTCTTGCCTCAAGGCCTCTGCATTGGTTGTTCCCAGTGCAGGGGCCATGCTTGCCCACCCAGGTACTTTACTTGGCTGATTCTTTCTCATCCTTCAGGTCTTAGCTCTAACGTCATCTCCTCAGGCCCTTCCCAGGCAACCCTGTCTAAATCCAGACCCTACCAGGAGATTTCTTGTGAGTTCCTACTCCCACTACACCCTCAGGATCCAGGCCCAATGGGCACAAGAGTGCTTCTATTCAGGTCCAGTCTAGTGGGAGCCCCTTGTGAGGTTCCCAGTGGGACTCTGCTGCCTGTAGGCTGGGGCGGTCACCCAGTGAGGCTCACTACATACAACAGCACTTGCCTCCCCTGGAGCTAGCTGGAAAGGCCCATTCTTTACAGACACATGAGGACTTGTGAAGCATTCAACAGGCACAGTGTCAGAAGGCCCATTCTCAGAGTCCTCGCTTTCCTATGTAGGAGCTTAAACTCAACACAATGGATTTCTGGTGTGGTTCTTGGAAGGTAAGCACTGAACTGAGAGGCAAACCACAAGGTCAGCGGTTTAAACCTAGCAGCTGCTCCTCAGAAACCAGAGTCTCTATGAGTTGGAACAGACTCGATGGCACTTAACATCTCAACACAGGGCCAAAAGGAGAAGGGAGCAGACGAGCTACGATTTGAACCCATGCTAGTCCCTAATTTCATAGCACCAGGGTGGCCAGGGTACCTAGAAAACAAGTCTGAAACAGTGGCTTTTAACTTGCTTTAACCCCAGGGCTCTGAGAAACTGACAAGTCAGACAGACACTCTTTAAGAGAAAAACGCAACAGAAACACTTTGCATCCAGTTTCTCTGGGTTCACAGAGGTGCTGGAGGCTCTGGAATGAATAGACCTCAGGGCATACTCCCAATATAGTGTCCTTGTCATAGCCCAGTTTGGGTGGCTAAGACTTAGTGGCTGTGCCCCTCACCTTAATGAGCAGGCTGGAGAGTTTGGCTGGCAACTGCCCACTTCCTGTTTCGATGTGATATTTCATCAGGAAGCCCATGCCCCGGACTCCGCTCACTGCAATGGGGATCTGTGGAGAAGCACGAGACGATGGGAGAGCTGGACAGGCTGGCTTCCAGCTCCTTCCTCAGAACAGCAGGGTCAGGCAAAGTCCTTTTACCAGGAGTCTCTGGGCCCTAGCTCATCGCTATAGTTTCAAGCCTTACTTATCCCTTTACACTGAAGACCCCTCTCAACACTGAAGACTCCTTCAGACAGCGCCCTGACAGTTGGGCAGATGAACAAATTCTGAGTCACTGGTTCCCAGGACCTAGAGAGAATATCCTCTAACCCAAACTCCTCATTTTCTACATAAAGAAACTGGGGCCCAGGGAGGACACGTACTTGTTTAAAGTCACAACAAATGATCAGAAAAGGTAAAATTCGACCTTAGGCCTCTTAAGTCTGCTACTTTCTCCCTCCCTGTGCTCTGGCGGGGATTTGGGCAAGGAGAATGGGGAAGGGAAATGGTCCGGCTGCCCCAGAACCTTACCCGGTCTGCCACAGCACTGCTGAGGATCATCTCCTGGACGTCACTGCTGTACTTGCCCGCACACAGTCTGCCGGGAGCCACGCTCACAGCCACCGAGAGTGCCAGGCTCCGCCCGTGCCGAACCATCCAGTCAATGCCAGACACGTCGGCTGGAGGACAGGACACAGCTGGGGTCTCCCTGCGCTTTACAGCAGGCCAGCCCCCGCTGAGCCCATGTGTCACATGTACAAGAACCCCCACTTCTAACGTAGCGTGGGGAGCAGAGGTCTCCAATCTGAGCTGCGCTCTTTGAAACAGAGAAGCTCAGGATTACAGGACCAATAGAGGCTGACACCGATGACATTCTGCATATTGTGCAAACATTTTTGCCCTCCTTTACCAGATTGGTCCACCACCACTCATTTGGCTTTGAACAGCTGGACATGCAGATACCCACAAGCCCCCAGAGGCCTAAGTGGAGGCACAGGACCTCCCCCAGAGCTGAGGGGCCCATGGCCCTAAGTGGCAGCTCCCCAATGTAGAGACCTACCCAGCAAGCACTGTTGGAGCACAGTGTTAAGCTCATCCTCAGTCAAAAAGGCACAAAGCTCCCCAAGGCAGCCAGCTGAGGACATCCGTGTGTTATCCTGAGGGAGCAGAGAGGGAACTGCAAAGGCCGGACAAACAACTCTACAGCCCAGACCCCCAAGCTCAGCAACTCGAGGCCCAGGGGGAGGGATAGGAAAGAGAGGAGCTCTAAGCTAGTTGTCACTCCCGGCTCCTCCTCGCACCAGACTGGGACTGCCATTCACAGAAACTGCCACTTGGTGAGGAGTGAAAATGACACACCCAGCACGTAATCATAGAAAACTCCCTGGGACAGCACATGGTAACCATCCACATCATAGTAATTGTCTTTACAGAATACCTTTCTCCAAGGAAGTCTGAATGCTTTGCATTTATTATCTCAGTCATCAGCAATAGGCCTGGGAGGCGGAGGCAGGTCCTCCCACTGGGTCAGTGTCCCCCCCATCAACCTGGAGAAGTCGGGTATAGGCCAAGCACTCTGTCTCAGAATCTGAGTCACACACACTGCTCCGTGGTGTGCCTTGGAACACGGAGAGTGGGTTTTCACTTGTGTGCCACATCAAAAGGCACCCATTTGACATGCAGGGAGACCTGGTGGTACAATGAGTCAAGCACTAGGCTGCTAACTGCAAGATTGGTGGTTCAAACCCACTAGCCACCCCGTGGGAGACAGATAAGGTTGTCTGCACTCCTAAAGACTCAGTCTCAGAAACCTTAAGCAGTTCTACTCTGTTCTATAAGGCTGCTGCGAGTGGGAATGGACTTGAAGGCTTCTTAATTAACATGTGCTCTGATTGCTCTTCTGAAGGAAAGGAGGATGTGGCCCACCAGCAGTTTGGACCTCTGAGCTCTAAGAACCGGAAGTGCCAAACAAGGCCAACACTGGCTCTCTGGCATCCACTCTTCAACTAGATCTATGTGAAGCTCCAGTGTGCTAAGATGAGAACTGGTTTAGTACTAAGTTTTGCTCATGCTGGGCATGACCCTATAAAAGCCAGAGGAGCTAATGTATCTACAGGGAGCAAGGGTCTACAACTGGGGATTCGAAGCTGACTGACAACACCATGGTCCACCCAGAAGCACAAAGGCAGCTTCAGGTGTGAGCCAGGATGAAGTGAAGAGCACCAAGGAACACCCCCAGCCCTCTCCCCAGATATTAGCCTTGCTCATGTAAATCAGGCCACCACCCAGAGAGGAAAGAGAAAATTTTTCCCCATAAACTCGATCCCCCCTAGGCATGCCAGCCACAGTGCTTCTCAGCTGAATGCAGCAGGGCCACAAGGATGATGGGAGACAGAACCAGGGGCCACAGGGCCCAAATTCTACCATTACTAGACGGTGGCCTCCAGTAAGTCTTGTCATTTCACCTAAGACCGCCCACCCTGCTGTTGCTTGAGGTTGGTGACCATGCCTTACTCACTTCTGAACTAGACCCAGGAGGGTAAATGTCTCCTGGACAATAGTTTCACAAATGGGGAAAATGACGATCATAAAGGGGAAGTGGCTTAAAACAGAGAGCCAACAGTAAGGAAGCTGGAATTCTACAAACCTGACTTCCCATATCTATAAAGCAAACTAATCAGTATCAGTAACACCCACCCTGTCTCCCTCACAACTGAAAAACTGTTTTGCCAACCATAAAGAGCAATCTGGCTGTCAGGAGCTACTATCATCGCTGGTCACCTGGCAGCAATACCAGGTTCTTCTAAATCAAAACTGGTGCCAAATTAAAAACCCATTGGCGCCCACCAACCCCACCATCGACCTCTGATCTTACCTCGTCATGTCCCAGCATGCTCAGCAGGAGCGAGACAATGTTTTTCCGGATGACCGCATCCACTTTGGACCCTGCTCCCTGAATCACAAACCGCAGGGCCTGCAGCATGGTGTCCCTGCAGAACACACGCCTCCTCCTTAGACGGGATCCGCCTGCACCACTCCTCCCTCATGCTGGTTGGACTTGGGTCAGGCTCAGCAGCGCCCTGGCCTCCTCACAGCATAGCCCTCTTACCCCTGTACGTACCTAATCCCCGAGTCCTCCACAATGCGGATTCCATTCAGCAGCTCGGAGAAGAGGGGGTCCACCTTGACATGGATGGAAATGAGCTTGCCCAGTGCCTCCGCGGCCTTCAGGCGCACGCCCCGGTTGGAGTCTTGCAGCGCTTTGGTAAAAGTGGTCTGCAACTGGGGCAGGAAGGGCTTCAGGGCAATCCCAACCTGAGAAAGAGACTCCCGTCAGTAAGGCACAGCTGTGGAGGAGCCCCAGGCCTGGAAACAAACAGCAGTCACAAACCAGAATGCGCTAACCCGGTCTAGCAGAGGCTAGGGAAGAGTCAAACAAGACGGCCTCATCCTTTATCACACAAGAGTTGGGGGAGGCAGCGGAGGCAGCAGCTTCCTTCTGAGGGAGCTGTCTTGCATCAGTGGAGACCTGCCCATATGGACAAGTGACTGAAAAAGCCTCCTTATCCTGAATGTGTGACAGAGGAGGACTGGCAGCATTGTTGACACCAAGTTTTAGGGTCAAGACAGGGAAGTGGACTAGATGTGCAACAGCAGTTACCACCAACTGAGCAATTTCTACACAGGATGAGTGCTTCACATCAGGCCTTCCAATCATTGCACTGTGGAAAGCGACATGCATTCAAGGCGATGTGGCTGGACGCCATCTTTAAGCGCGGCATTGCTGTATGTTTCCTACTTGGTCAAGATCTGTAGCACTATAGCCTTCATTTCCATCAGCCAGGACAGAATTGTTTCGTAGCACCTGAAGGCCAGCTTCATAAGTAGCCTTCAGAATAATCCCGTGACACAAGAAAGCTCTTAAATTCCTCCCTACATACAAGAGCACTCACCTAATTAAAAACCCAGTTCAGTCCCTCAGTAAATACAGGAAAAACAAGCAAAAACTTGATCCAGTACAGATGGCTTCACACTAGAGACTGGCTGTTAAATGGGGAAATGCCACATCGGTCTAGAAGGGATGCTAGCTGCTGGAGGAACACCACACAGGGAATCTGATGAATTGGGGGTGGGGGGGGGGCATGGGTGACATCTGACTCATGGCCTAAAGGACAAGTGCTATGAGCTTAAGGACTCCATTTGTGTCTAAACACCACGGAAAAGGAACATCATAGATGTGACTTGATTTCAACAAAAGACTCAGTTGTGAAGCAGAAACTCACAATCCCTAAAGGAAAAAGCTACTAGATTGAAGATGGCTTTTGCTGCCAAATCTTATACAAGGATAGAAAGTTTTTCCCTCAATTACCAATCTCACTGCTGCTGGCTACGTTTTTTCAATTCTGAAGGGTTAAACTACTTCAGAAAATATCAGAAGTGATACAGTGTTGGGCTACTTTTGTCCCTCTCACATGTGGCAAAACCTGAAGGCCTTTCGGTCATTCAGACTTCCTTTCCAATTCTTCACAAATCTCTTATGTGGTCGTAATAACAAGTCAAGCATACTTAAACCACTTTTAATTATATGAAGGAGCTTCAAAAAGTTCATGGGGAAAAAATCCCATTCTGTTAATTCCATTTTTCCAAGAACTTTTTAAAGCTCCCTTGAGTTTATGTGGCCCTGAACTTTTTTCCTTTGAACAAGCAGTCCTAAAAAATAAAATTAATTCCTGTGTATTGAGCATTCAGTAAGTCAGGCATTGTACTCAACATTGTTTCAGGTAATCTCCACATTTCCCAGCCCTTCACGAAGCAAGGCTTCTTCCCAAACTGTTGAGGAAACAGGCTCAGAGGTTATGAGACAGTCCAAGATCATTCAAGTCATATGAAGTGGAAGGAAGGACTTGGAATCAAACCCTAGGGTAGTAAGTCTAGGAGTCCTGATGGCACAGTGGGTTAAGTATTAGACTGCTAACCTAAAGTCAGCCGTTCAAACCCACCATTCACTCCGAGACAGAAATAAAGATGAAGGCTCTGTACAGATTCATAGTCTTACAAACCCTGGAGCGCAGGTCTACTCTGTCCCACAGGGTTGCTATGAGTCAAAATCCAAGTGCTTAACCCTTCGTGCACTACCATGTCCTCTCTGCTACAGGCCACCACTGTCAGTCTCTTGCAGGCAGATTTATTCTCTGGGACCCTAATGGTGAACGGTTCTTCCTTACAGTCACTCACCTTGGCCAGCAAGAGGCTGAGTGTCTCAAGCAGAGCCGCCTTCACATTCCAGCTAAAGCGGTCTCCCAGGATGCGAATCAGAGGGCCAGTGATGCTGACCACAGAGGGCCTCAGGGCGTCTGCCGAGGTCAGTCTAATCACTAGGCCTAAGGCTTTGGCTGCTTCTTCTTTCTGTTCCGGGCTGCCAGTCAGGACTCCCTCCCGCAGCACTGGAAGGATGGAGGTTACGCCCTAACAAGGAAATCATATCCGAGAGTTAAGTCTTAAAGGCCTAGAGGTCTCCCACCCAAAGCAAGGTGCTCCTGTCAGCCCCTCCTCCCATTAGCTCCCTGGGAGGATCCATTCCAGCTGCCAGGTTCACAGCCGGACAGGATGTTTAAGGGTGTCCATATGTCCTTGGCCATCTCAGAGAAGAACCACGAGTTACTGAATACAGAAGCCCCTTCCTGGCACAACAAGCCTCATACTGAGGCAGCACACACTGGGCTACGCACCCCACTTGCTCTGACTTCGGTTGCCTCCACGACCTATACTGAAGGCAGTACGAGCTCTAGCTCTCAATGGCTGAGATGGTGCTAAGCATACCTCAGAAATTGAAGCCAGCTGCCCTAGCACTGACTATGTCAGGAAACAGAGGAAGGCCTGGCTTACCTTCCTGGGGAGGCAGAACCCGGGCACATGCTCGCCTCGGCTCTCATTCCCAGCGAGCCGGATTTCTTTGTGCAACTCTTCAATTAGTGCCAGCTGGCTGCCACCATCCAGTTTCTGTGAGAATCCAGGGCAAAACGGGCAATGTGAGCATCCTAACCGCCTCTGTGAGATTGTCTCACACAAATACTGGAGGGTGGTGGGTCATAAACAAGACTAGCCATAAACTGATAAATGTTGAAGATGGGTGGTAACTACATGGAGGAATATCACAGGAGGCTAGATGAGTCTACTCTTATAAACACCTGGGATTTTCTACAACCAAGCAACCACGAGACTATTTCCAAGGTGGCCTGAGGTTTATTACTATCACTGTTGCTATTTACTAGTCCCCAGTGACATGGATTGGCAAAGTGGCAGCATCAAGGGGCTCAAGTGTGGCAACAATTGTGAGGCTGGCCCAGGACCGGGCAGTGTTTTGTTCTGCTGTGCATAGGGCTGCTATGAGTCGGTACCGACTCAATGGCACCTAACAACAAAGTGGACTCCTGGCGACCCCAGTGACACTAAACGCTGTCTTGTCCTGTATCATCTCCACCATCACTGGTCTGCTCTGGTCCATGTTGTAGCTGCCGTGGACTCTGAATGCCTTCCAACCAAGATGGCTCACCTTTCAGTGCTCTACCAGACAACTTTCTATTATGATCCATAGCGTTTTCACTGGCTAAGTTTCAGAAGTAGCTAGCTAGGACTCTCTTCCTAGTCGGTCTTAATCTGGATGCTCCACTGAGACCTTTCCAGCCTGGGGGACACTGCTGGTATTTGAAATTGGGTTGTGCAGCTTCCAGGACTGCAGGCACACACTGCCCACTACAGCAGGACACTTACAGACAGGTGATGGGTTCACTACGAGACCTTACTGATTCAGGGTCAGGAGTTTCTATGCACACCTACTGTCTGGAAAATGACAGGAAGGCTGGACAGGGGTTCTCTTTCAAATTCTCATCAGCATTGCATGCTCAAAGCGGGGGCGCACTGCTGGGGGTGGGGAGCAAGTCCCTCACCTTAGTGATGGCATTCAGGGCATCCCAGCTTTCTTCCAGAACCACAGGGTTGGAGTCATTGAAGAGGCGGATCAGGCCAGAGACCAGGCTCCGCAGGTGGCTGGTGTAGTCAGCCTTGGAGCGGGAGCAGTAGATGTTGAGAATGATGGTGGCAGCCTGCCTCAGGCCCACTTCAGGGCTGCGCGTGGCTTCCAACAGATCCTCGATGATGACCCGTTGCCCGGTCTCATCCTCCACAGACAGGACCACAGCCTGGCAGTTGGCCATTTCCTAAACACCAGAGGGACACGGGTCTGAGCACAGATACACGCAGCAGGGCAGAGTGGACATTAGAAAAGGTCCCAGTGCTTTTACCAGCTGCTCGCCAGAGGTCCCAAGCTTCTCCTTCAGGGCCAACATGACTGCTGGGAGGATCACACTGAGATGACGGGTCAAGGAGTCACCAGCCACGGATGAGAGGAACGCCAGCACCCGAGTATTAACAGGTGGTGTCGTCAGCTGGGAGAACAATGCGTATCATCACCTCAGTGCTCACAGAGCCCTGTTTCTAGGCTCTGAGAATAGAGGGGTGAGGGGGAGAGACCCATCCCCACTGCACAGAGTCTCGTGTCTGCTCCATGGAACTCAGAGAACAAGGGAACGTCTTCCCTGTAGCTGCTTCCTCCCCAGCCTCCCCCACACCTGACTGAGTTCATGCAGGCCCAGCACTAACTACCATTCCGGCCGTGCAGTGGGTTTTACCTTGGGCACGAGGTAGGGCAGCACCACACGACTCTTGATGGCCATAACTTGCTTCAGACCATCTAAGGCAAACTCAGACACCTCCTCATCCTCCTGCACAGAAGGGATAGAGGATCTGGCACCTCCAACCCCTCCCACCCTCCTATGGTGCCCATCGCAGGACAAGCACAAAGCTAGATCTGATTGATCCTGCTATACCCACTCCCTCTGATGGCCTAGCAAGATAAACGCTGCTTGCGTTTTGTTTCCACAGTGCCAGTGAAAGCCAAACTGGGAGGTGTGTGGCAGACCCACTCACCAGCTGCTTCAGCAGAAACGGAAGGATGTCCTCCAGGGCCTGGTGGCCAATGGTGGAGTGGAGCTGCTCAAAAGTCTTGGCTGCTGCCTCCCTGACCTCCTCCAGTGGGTCACACAGAGCCTTCCTGGCTGTGGGCACGAGGGACTCGGAGAAATAGAGCACCTGCAAGACCATAGGCACTGCTGACCTGACAGACAAACACAGGAGCCAGGCAAGCCAGGGAGCCCACAGAGGGAATGCGGCCCGGCCAACACAGCTTCCTTGGTAAGATTCTTCTCTTCATTTGACTCTTCACTGTGAAAACGTTCACAATCAAGAAGCATAGAAGACACATAATGCAACGCCATGTATTAAAAATCAATGACTTAGCTTTTTTAAGGGAATTCTCTTCGTCTGGCTCAGGGTGTCCCTCTCCTGCTATGTGTATTCATAGATAAATCAGGTTTGTCTTAGGATATGTTTGTGCACCCCACCCCCTACAAGAAGTCCAAACACCTTCACATGACAAGGCCCTTCACAACCTGGCCATTCTTTCCCTGGACTCTTGCTTTTCTCTTGGAAGGTACCAGGTCCTTCTGCAGGCTCAGCTCGGCTATTTGCTTCTCTGTGAAGTGCTTGAGTCTGCACTGGATCAATGGGGACCCTCTGACCCCTCGGGAAAGAGTTCCATCATAGCAGAGCTCTTCCAACTGCCTCACCGCCGGACAGCGGGCACTTTGTAGGGGGACCTGGCCTGAGTCGCAACTCTACACTTGTCAAATGCAAATACACTAAAAGAAAGCTAATTCATCCATGAATACACGCAACAAGAGAGGGACCCCCTGAGCCAGACGAGGAGGCTGCTCGCTTACATTTCTCCCTGGCAACCACCCAGTCACTTCGGTGCTTGCATCTCAATCGAGAGACTGCATTCTCACCCTACTTCCTAGGGATGTTTCGAGGATGAATTTACCTCAGAAAGCAGGGTCAGTGCAAAGTACTCCAAAGCCCTAGCATATTGCTACTATGGTAACAGTATTATTACTACAGACAACACACTTCCACCCACTGGGTACTTAAGCTCGTCTACTGCACTCCTTCTAGGAATGAGTGCATACCCCTCCTCCCACTCCCAGCGCCCTCCGTGCTCACATGCACACATGCACGCGCACGCACACACGCACACGCGCACATGCACACCTTTCCTTCTCTGGGGAGGTTGCTCTGGAGCCTCCTCAGGTATGGGGAAGGAAGGCTCACTTTCACTTCCCAAAGGCCACCTGAGGCCTTAGGCCACTATTTTTAAGCCTGTGACGCTAAAAGAAAAGCTAAGAAGAGGGAAATGAGCACCCGCTGTCAGCAGTACCCCAGGGAGGGGAAAAGCAGAGATACCTCCCAGGGTGAAGCTTTGCCCCACCCCCACCCCCCACCCTGAGTCGGGTCACAGGGGATCCAGCCAGGGGCCCTCAGAGGACACTCACGGCATCACGGCTGGTGGACTTCATGATCTCGCTCAGCCCGATGCACACGCCCTGCCTCTCGTCACTCTTTGGGGACCGCAAGCCCTCCTCGAGGATAGGGATGATCTCGGGGAGGATCTTCTCCCCCAACTTCCGGACGAGGTCTCCTAGGGTCCTAGCTGCGATCTGCCAGCAGAGATCAATCAGGACAGCAGCTCCAGAGTGAAGTCCCAGTGTCCCGGGCTTCACATTCCCAAACGCTCCACCTCTCTAGTGGGCCCAGGTACTGGCAAACCACCATGGAATCAAATGAGCTCTTAGTTGCCTACACACCTATACAGCTTCGAGCAAAAGCTGTCACCTTCTACATAAGCATGCGATTCCATATGCTTCATGGTTCCAGAATTTAAAACTTCAGCCTAGACATCACTGAAGCTCCCACCTTTGCTCAAGGAGAACAGAATGTGAAACAAATGCTTCAAAGAAAAAATTCATGCTCCCTCCCTCTCCAGTCACCAGAGGTGCAGCTTCCAAGGAGGAAGGCATCAGGACAGCTGGGTCAGAAACAGGTCTGGGAGACGTACCGTTCTCTTATCTGCACAGGTGCTGGCCAAGAAACCCAGCAAGAGCCCGAAGAGAGTGGGCAGGATCTCTCGTAAGGTGCGGGGAGTGTTGGAGACCACAATCTTCCAGACGTGCAGGGATGCCTGACGCACGACCAGCTGGGTATCCGAGCGGCCCATGTACAGCCCTGCCAACACACGGTTCCGCCGATCCACACCCAGGGCCGTGATGATTGCCTGTAGCCAGCGAAGATGCAAGGAACAGAGCACGTGGAATGTGAACAGAGCATGTGACCTCCGTGGCCTGTGTGCCCCGGCCACCCGCAGAGAGAAGGCAATCACTCCAGGGCAGGCACCTTGTTGGACTGCGCTGTTCCAAAGTTATCATCTTCAGAGGCCGTTTCTGTGGTCATTTTCCCTGTAACTCCGGAGATGTGGAACAGGAGGTCCCCCAGGAGCTGCACAGAGCTGAACCTGAAACATGAGTGCAGATGACAGTCACACAGATGCAGGCAAGTCTCCCAACCATATCTCACACCAGACAGGAGGAGATGGACCCACATTAATGGTGGCCCCCAGGAATCGTGGAAAAGCCACAGGTGGTCTTCATGTCTTTCCACTTTATCGCAGGTGTTTACTACCAATGAACATATATATACATGGGAGTTTTATAATGGGAAAGAATAAACATTTTGAAAAAGCACACAAATGATAGATGTTGGAACATCTCATGAATCAAAGTCTTCAAAAGATAGCATGTATGCAAAAGGGCAGCATGAACAGGTGGGCAGGAATCTGGGTCATCACAAATCCAAAGTCCTGAGCACTGAGAGGCCAAGTCAGAAAGAGAAACTTGCCTTCTCATGAGTAAAATGAGGTTTCACTTTTAAAAGATTATAAAAGAAGCTTTCCAGAAGCTCCCAACTGCCAATCACAAGCACACCATCCAGTCTGGAAAGGGATCCATCCCCAAGGGAGCCTTTAGATGAAACCACAGCCCCAGCTGGCTCCTGACTGCAGCCTCTGGAGACCCTGAGCAGAGGAACCAGCCTGGACTCCTTACCCACAGATAATAAATACGGGCTGTCTTACGCCTTTATGTTTTGGAGTAAAAAAGAGTCTAATGCAGCAATAGATAAACTAAAACAGAAACCAATACTGAGAGAAGTGAGGAGACTTCAAGGCCACATAGCTGATTCCAAGCCAGGTGTGCTAACCCAGACAGAATCTCTTCATCACCACATTTACGACTGTCTGCAGCCTAGATTACAAAGCCAATTTTTAATTTTTTTTACTTTAAAGTTGCTGTTGGGTCAATTCCAACTCAGTGAGCCTATAGGAAAGTAGAGCTGTCCCCATTGGGTTTTCAAGGCTGTAAACTGTACAGAAGCAAACTGCCACACCTTTCTCTCATAGAGCAGCTGGTGGATTCGAACCGCTGAACTTTAGTCAACAACTACTGTACCACCTGGGCACATTCTGTCATGATTGGCAGTGGTGGTATGTAGTGGAGTTGGCTCTGACTCATAGCAACCCTGTATTGGGTTTCCGAGGTTGTAAATCTTTATGGGAGCAGAAAGCCTCTTCTTTCTCCTGAGGAATGACTGTCAGTTTCAAACTCCTGACCTTGAGGCTAGCAGCCTGACATGTAACCACTACGCTATCAGAGCTCCTTCTGCCATGATTAGGTTTCCAAAAAGTGAGTCTTTTAAAACCTAATCACAGAAATCATTTCAACGAAATGAAATGTGATAGGATGAGTGCAAAACCGGTATTCTTCCATGTAACCTGTCACTCAATTCACAATAAAAGCTTAAAAAAAAAAAAGATTATAAAAGCAAAATGCAAGTATGCCCAAAAGGGATGCATGAACAGGAAACTAGGAATCATGAGCATCAGAAATGGAGTTCTTGAGAAGGAGGGCTCAGAAGGATGAACTCTAGTCCTTGTCAAAGTAGACTTCATTTTTTAAGTTTACAAATTGTCTCACTCTAACTGAAAATTCAAGAAATTCAGAGGGATAGAAGAACCACACACACCATTTAAAAAGGCCCCAAAATTCCCACCACCGTGGAGACCTGGCACTGGGTGACATAGTTGTAACACAGCTCCCAATTCATGACAGCGCCCAACCACACACCATGTGGGTAACAGAAAACACGTGCTCTGGCAACAACAAACTGAGGGCTCTTGGTGTCAGCTAATACAGTCCTAGCTCAGTCTTATCTTTATCTGGTTGAATAATGAAAGAAGGAATGGATGAGCGAGCATTTTTTTAGAATCAACTTTTCAAATGATAAACAACAACCCAAAACCCAATGCTACTGAATCAGTTCCGACTCTCAGCGACCCAGACGAACAGACAGAACTGCCCTGAAGGGTTTCCAACACTGTAAATCACAGGGTGGCTGGTGGGTTTGAACTACCAACCATTCAGGTTAAGAGCTTTAACCACTGTGCCACCCGGGCTCCTTTGATCCACAATATTATAGCAGATCTTCTTCTAGATATATCTTTCAGCACCTGACCAAAGATGGCCTTGGAATAAAATCCTACGAGTGTCATTTTCATTGCAGGTTAAGACTTTGCCATTTTAGTATAACTAGAAAGCTGAATAGAGAGAACTTTTTTCAAAGAGAATCAGAATGAAGGCCTGGCTACAGGAAGTGGGAGAGTTACAAGACGGGTGACAGCGAGCGTCTAGAGAAAGCTGAACGGATTCATGGCAAAGTGTTGCTCTCTACTTCTCAAGTCAAGTTCTCACCTGATCCTCCAAAGGTCGTCAAACAGGCCCTGCTCCAGCTGGGGCAGCAACAGGGCAATGGCTGTCTCTGCATACATGGAGATGACCCGCTGGCCCGCTCGCAGCGCCGTATCCCGCACAAACTCATTCTCATCAGCAAGAGCCTGTGCATCAAGAGGGTGGGTCAGCTTTCCCCTGATCAGTCACCTAGACTGGACGGGAGACTCCCAAAACAGCAGGAAGGAGGAGGAAGGGGCCTGTCAGAGAAGCTACCCCCCACCCCAAGGAGCACTGTCATGGGTACCTACTTTGAGGATACAGGGGATGATGGGCCCCACGTAGGGAGTAAATTTGTCCCCGAAGGTGATGGGCAGGTAGTTGAACATCATGATGTACCCATCTCGGACGTGGGGGGCAATGTCCACTTTGCTGGCTGTTGCTACGATTTCTGGCATCAACTTCTCCAGCTTCTCTACCCCCAGACCAGCCATGACCTCAGCCAATCCTATAACCATAAGATGGAATGAACCCCCCATACATGAGGGCCCAATGAGGGAATTCCTGCTCTTGCCCCAACCTGCCCTGGCCTCACCTTGTGCAGCACCAGAGCGGTCCACGGAGCTCTGTTCATAGGTCAGCGTGTCCATGAGCCACGGTAGCAAGTCCTCAAAGCATGACTCCCCCATGCCCTTCACCATGGCCCCAAGAGCCTTTGCAGACACCGTGCGTACCTGTCAGAAAAACGAGAGCAGGGAGGGCGATGTGTTGCCACACAACAACCTTACAAGAGCTGGAACGGGACTCCTGATATCTGCTGCCTAATACCAGACACAAACCCTGCTTTCAGGAAATTCTCAGGAATCCTTTTTCTGGGGACTGGGCTAAATTAATGATCAACTCCCAACACCCCCAGACTTACCTCAGGCACAGGGTCCAAAAGGGAGGCTTTCAGGCCTGGAGTCACGCTTGGCAAGTAGGGAGCCAAATCCTACAAGAACACGAGAGGGACTCCTGTGGACCCACTCCACGGTGAATGTGACCTAACGTTCTGCTGACACGGAGCAAGCACTCCAGAGGAGCCCCACCAAGAAGAGCTATCAGCTCATGGAGAAAGTACAGAAACAGAACTGACTAAGCCACTCCTGCTCCACTGTTTCCTTGTAGGACTCAAGAAAACCTATTAGGAGACCCAAAAAGGTGAGCCCAGGAACCCCAAGATAGGTCCAGCAGAGCAACGAGGGCAGTCTAGTGTGCTTCGGCCTCCCGCCCTTCCTCTGGGACCAAGACCTGCTTAGCCTCCTGAATCTTTAGGAAATGAAATTTCTGGCACTTTCACAACTTCATTATCATTCTTGTTTTCCTTACCTTAAAATGTTTCTATCTCTTGATACAGCATTCAGCCTTGGAGAATCATTTTAAATATAGAAAACGCTTTATGCTCTCAGCAGCATCATTTAAAATAGCACAAAACCTTAGCAATCATATGACCAATGGGAGAATTACATAAGGTATGGTATCCAGACTTGGTGTATTATATACAATGGAGGAGCTTCAAAAAGGTCAAGGAAAAATTCCATGGTGTTTTAACGTCAATTTTCCATAAACTGTTTCAAGCACCCTTGAGTAGCTATTAAAAATCTGTTTTATGAACAACTTGCTGTAATTGGAAGTAAGTTTATATTCAGAACATAATAAAAATCGTTATCAGTAATTGTTATAGTGTTGGGGGACTATGAATAAAAAAAATTTTGGTTTTCTAACTACTTAATTTCCTAAAAGGAGTCCTGGGGTGGTGCTGTGGGTTAATGCGTTGGACTGCAAAGTTGGTTTGAACCGAAAGGTCGGTGGTTCAAGCTCACCATCCACTCCTCAGAAACCTCAGAGTCACTATGGCTTGGAACTGACTCGACAGTACTTAACAACAAAAATTTCCTAAATGTCCTCTGACTGACATGGTAGTGCTTCAGTCTTTATCTTCTGTCACTTGGAGACACAGAGTTGTAGTCAGTCAGGTCACATACAAGCTCTTGGAAGGACACACCCACAAATACAGCCCATCTCCCACTCGAGACTCACTTCCTCCTGGCACACAGCAAGTGGTCAAAGGAATAGGCACTTTGGCACCACTCCTAAAAGCTCAGAGGCGCTGGACCCCCCCTCTACCTCAATCTGAACAGGGGCCTCCCCTGAGTACAAAGTTAAGAAAGACTTGAACCATTGTTGTCTGCAAGATACCCGGAGAGCCTAAATTTCTACCCCTACTCCTCCCCAAATGGCCCATTTCTCTTCCCAAACCTTCTCCACCTGCTGCGGGCAGGGACTCTGTGACCCACACCAGCGCATCTGCCCTGTGAAGCTATGGCTGTTACCTTCTGATCAGTCAGGGAGTACATGTTGCCAATGATCTGAGCTGCCATCTTCCGTGTGTCTGTTGAACGGTCCTGGAAGGCTCTTTGGACAATGGGCATGATAAGGGCCAGGGACGGGGCATCGATGAAGTGGACGAACTTGGTGTCCAGCAGGGTCTGCAAGCACTTCTGGGTCTTCCTGGAGGGATCCGTCAAGGCATCCAGCAGGACTGGGGCAATGGCTGCGGGTCCCAACAGGTGAGAGGTACATTTGTACAAGTCTTTCGAGAGATTAGTCAGTGGCCCCAGAAGGCCTGAAGGCCTGCCTATGAGATGCCAGCTGGGAAGCGTTCCAGTCTGCTCTCTCCCCCAGCAGGAAGTGGAGGAAACCGTGCTGAGCTGTGACTGGCCAACACCTGTGGTGACTATCAATGGGTAATGAACAGCAACCACATTGTTGAGCCCCACAGGCGAGCAATGCCAGCATTAGGCACTGCATTCTAAAGTAGCAACCCAAAGTGTTTTGGTGAAGAAACTGTTCTGAGACATCAAAGGCCCCTGGACCAGGGGGGTAAGGAAGCACAAGGTGCTCAGAGCACCTACATGCAGACTGAACGAGTCTCAAACACTCAACACAAACGAGCCCTGCCCAAGGAATTCTCAGAGAGGACAAAACCCTGGCAGGTCTTTTCCCCAGCTCAGAGAACTTCACCAAAACAACTTCACCACTACAAAAACAACGCCGCTCCCCCACCCCCCCCAAAAAAAAAAAAAAAAATTGACAGGATTTGAACAGAAGTTTTGCCAATGAATATATGCAAATGACCAACCAGCTCATGAAGAGATGTTCAACATCATTAGTCATCAGGGCAATGCAAATCAAAACCACACCGAGTTATCCCTTCACCCCCACTACACCCAGTTGCACCTTCTGTCACAGGAGAATTGCCCCATGGGACTTTCTAAGTTGTAATATGAATAAAAACGGACTCCCGGTGCTGCGGTGGTTAAGCACTCGGTTGCTAAACCAATGCAGGGAGAGATGTGGCATTCTGCTTCTGTAAAAATGGAAAGCGTGGAAACCCTATGGACAGTTCTACTCTGTTCTATACACAGGTGCTATGACTGAGAATCACTCAGCAACAATGGGTCTAATTCTGAAATGAAGGAGGTCTGGTGTTGTCATGGTAAAGCACACAGCTGCTAACCAAAAGGTCAGCGGTTCGATTCCACCAAGACCTCCACCGGAGAAAGTGATGGCAATCTCTTCTGTAAAGATGGCAGACTTGGAAACCCTCAGGGGCAGCTCTCCCGTCCCGTATGCGCTGGACTCAGCACAGCAGGAACAGGTTTTGGTTTTCTTTGAAATCTTTATGGAAAAGGAACCCTAGTGGCACAATGGTTACCGTACTACTGACACCCAGAAGGTCAGCAGTTCAAGCCCACCAAGTATTCCATGGGAGAAAGATGTGGCAGATTGCTTCCAAAAGATTATATAGCCTTTACAACTTTATGAGGCCGTTTTACTGTCCTAGAGTACTGCTCTGAGTCAGAACTGACATCACACAACAATCATTACAGACACACATGGCCAGGGCTTTCTTCTAAAACACTGCTGGGTGGATTCAAAACCCGAGCCTTTCAATTCACAGCTAAGCATGTCAACCACTGCGCACCAGTGTACCTTTCATACCCACTAATGATAACTAAGTCACTGCTGTTGAGCCAATTCTGACTCACAGTAATCCTAGAGAACAGAGTAGAAATGTTCCATGGGGTTTCCAAGGCTGGAAATCTTCATGAAAGCAGAATGGCACATCTTTCTCCTAAGAAGAAGCTTAGTGGGTTTGAATTGCTAACCTTGTGATTAGTAGTCCAATGCTTAACCCACTCTGCTACCAGAGCTCCTTCATACTCATTTTGTGGTTGTTAAGTGTCATAGACTCATAGCAATCCCTATACAGCGTTTCTGAGACTGTCAATCTTGAGAGAACAGAAAGCCTCATCTTTTCCTATCATACCCACTGGGACGCCTAAATTCAAGCAGACAGACACTGAAGACTGCTCTGGACCAGTGGACACACAGACCACATCAGGCCGCCCAGGATTTAGATGTGAGATGACTGCAGACCTATGTGCCCTCAAGGGTGGGCCAGGAGCATACCCAGGATCTCCGGGTTCCTGATGACAGAGCCGATCTGCCTGAGCGCCTGTTGCCCAGCCTTCTGCACCTTGACGTGGGAGTCGGTCAGCACCTCCGTGAGCTTAGGCACAATGTTGGGCAGGCAGGATGACAGCTGCTTGGGAGCGCAGTACGCCATAGCCCCGAGCAGCTCCACTGACCCTGCGGACAAACACAGCCAGCACTGATCAGCCGAGCCCAGGCCTGCAAATACCCTGGGTGGGCTGCAATGAAAGGGGCACCCCTTGCGCTCCTCTGCTGGCCAGGCTCCAGGCCTCCTTGCGGGGAAGGGGACACTGCTGAGCAGGGGAAGCCCAGCTGACGAGCAGTGGGGAGTCAGTCCTGGCAGGGATCCATGGCCAAGTCATTTCACTGCTCTGGCCTCAGTTTCCCCATCCACAAGTGAGAAAGTGGACCTAGAACTGTGATTTTTTTCAAACAACAGAGAATCTTCTTCAGATCAAGAGAGAAGTCAAGTGGGAGAGCAGCAGACCTTGACCCTGCCCCACACAAGGCAGCTCCGTGACCTGTGGTGCATATTAAGGTGCCGGATAAAAGTCAGTCTTCTGCCAGAGCTGTACTGGGGAAAGCTTGAGAGCCACAGAACCAGGGAACTTCTGAGACTATTTCTACAGCTTCCAGGCCCCAGGACTTCAAAGTCAAGGGCTGTAGCTGTCAGCAGACCCACGCTTGGTGTGGAAGCACACAAACTACAGAGGATCGAGGCTGGGCCCTTCCCCTGGCCTGAGGGCCACACACACAGGACAAGGGCTGTGGGCTGTGGCAATCTGGATCAGAACAGAAAGCTGAGGGAGAGGGAAAGGAGGGGAGATATTACCTGCTTTGGTCCTCCAGGACTCCTCCTCAAGGGCGGCCAGTAAGGAGGGGAGCACCAGCTTCACCCCGTGAGCACTCAGGTTGCTCATCACAGCTTTGGCACAATCATCTGCAGCCTCAAGGGAGGAGAAAGGACGTTCAGAGGCCTCCTCACCAACATGAGGCACAGGACCTGGTGCTGATGTCACATCGGGTGTCCTTCCAACAGTCAGCACTCAGGGGGTCTCAGTGTTACACCCTGCACTGGGCCTGGGATATAGCCAGCCTGCCCACCGGCTCTTGCCTGCAGCCTCAGGACTTACCTCACGCACATACTGGTTCCCATCCCCGAAGCAGAGCAGCAGGTGTGGCAACACGTGGACTACGTATGGCTCAAAGAGCTTCCCCAGCATGGTGCAGAGCATCTCAAAGGCAAAGAGGGCTCCTGGGGGGCAGGGGTAGAGGGGAGCCACTGAGGAACCTCTACCAGCAACATTCCCACTACCTCCTCACCCTCTAGAAATACCCAGGACTGATGTGGCTGCCCCAGGAGGGCGCAGTGGCCTATATCTCAGCCCAAGCTGCCCCAGCGTCAGGCTGTGGATGAGAGGCAGACGAGCACGGGGTGTTGGGTGCTGGGTGCTGGCGGCTAGAAAGGCGACATCTCACGGTAGTGCTGAGTTCGAATGACAGCGTCCAGGCCACAGGATCAAGGACCCAGAGAGAATGAGGCAAACATATGAGACACACACCCTCTCGCCGGCGGAAGTTCTTCTTGTCCTGGATGGCATCAGTAAGCGTTGCCATCATTTCCTGCTGCTTGAGTGAGAGGATGCCCAGGCCTTTCACCAGGCCGGCCAGCCCGTATGCAGCCCCTTTGCGCTCGGCGTACTTGTCTGATTCCAGCAACTGCTGCATCAGCCTCTGGATCATCGCTCCCGCATCCTCCTTGATGGCCGGCACAAGAGGCGGCAAGCAGCTCGCCACAGATTCCTGGACCTGAGAGGGTGCAGCAGTGTTACTAACAGATCGGCCACAGCCATGTCCCTGTGCATCACTAAGTGTCTCCAATCCCACCCCAGCCACTGCCTGCCCAGTCGCAGGGCTCAGAGGAGCCCTGGTACTCGGCACACCCCTTCATGTGGGACACGTGCTCCAAGAGGAGTGCACGTTACAATCGGCCAGAGACGAGGAGAACTGAGGCCTTGGAAAGTGGGGGCAAGCCCGAAAAGATCCAGTCCACTCAGAGAAACACCTCCAGCAACAAGCACAGTACTGCTCCTCCACAGATTCGGCTCATGTCTCTGGTTTCCAGTCTCACAAGACTGAGGCCAAGATACACAGCCAACATTCTTTCCAGGAAGCACCATACAAACAGCACAGCCTTGCACTTTCCAGTACCCAAGTGGGACGCAGCAGGTCAGCTTTTCTGATACCTTCTCTGACCACAATTTTGTAAACTTTTGCTTCTCAACTGTGCATTTTATGAAAGCAGTCTGGGTGTTTCAAAACACAAATCATAAAAAACCTCTGCTAATGTGTTTTTCCAAATCAAGAGAAAGGGGGGAAACCAGAGATGGAGGCAGAGACGATGACGTGGAGAGATGGAGTGGCTGGGGACTCCAGACCCAGAGAGGGAGAGGGGCTGTGTGCTGACGACCGAGGGGCAGGCTTGCAGGGTATACCTTTTGATTGGTTGATGATGCATGGAGGGGACTGTAGCCATGGCAATGAAACGATATATGATAGGGTAAATGTAAAGCTAATGTTCTCCCATGTAAAGTATCACAAAATTCACAATAAAAACTTAAATTAAAAAAAAAAGTGAAGGCGGGGGATTCCTTTGCACTATGGCTTGGAGGCTGTAGTAAAAGGCACCTGACACACAACACCAGCACAGGGAAAGGGTGAGGAACAAGCCTGATACAAGAGGGGCCTGTCTTTTTCTATTTTAGTCGCTGGGTTATAAATGAAAGGCTTACACCAAGTGTAAAAAATGACCATTAGCTTGGAAAAGAGAAAAATATACAAGAGACAGCGTAAAGAACCTCCTCACCAGGGGCGTCCTCTGTGGACTCTCACTTTTCACTACAAACACTCCTGGGGTGGGGGTGCTGTTGAGTCCAACTCAGAGTGACCGGCATAGGGTTTCCTAGCCTGCAAACCTCTATGGGAGCAGAAAGCCTCATCTTTCTCCCATGAAGTAGCTGGTGGATTCAAACCACCGACTCTGCTGCTAACAGTTCAACACACAACCCATGATGCCAGCAGGGTTCCATAACAATCCGAACTAGTTAGCAGTCCATACACAGTACACACCGAGCACGCATATGAGGAAGTTGGACTAGTTAGCAGTCCATACGCAGCGAGCACGCACACGAGGGAGATGAACTAGTTAGCAGTCCGTACACAGCGAGCACGCACACAAGGGAGATGAACTAGACGTCTTGATGCAGACACAGACCCTGGGCAAGGAGGCTGAGCACACATGGACAGGTACACACAGAGAGAAGCCTATGACAAACCCATTACAGTGCTCCCCTGGGCCACAAACCTGGATGTGCCATGAGAGAGGGGGGCTAAGCCATCTGGAGCCTGGTCACCCGCTGTCCCACTATCTGTCCCAAGCATGGCCCCTCCAATTGCTCAACTGGCCCCATGGACCCCTGACCAGGTGGCAAGTACCTGCTGGGAGGGAGTGGAGAGGGCCGCAATAAGCTTGGCAACAATGGGTTTCACTTTGGGGTCGCTCTTGTCCAGGTGCTTGGCCAGGGAGCCCATCAGGACCACCACACTCTGCCGCACAGCGTCATAGCTGGCATCATTGGGTGCATCTTTCAGAAACTCCTCAAACACTGGCAGCAGTGAGTTGACGTTCTCCTGGAAAGACAAGCCCACCTGGGGACCTGAGGCAGAGTCTGTGCAGTTGAGTCTCGGGAAAAGGGCTTCTGTCCCAAGAGTCACCCCAAATCTGGTTCTGGAGAGGTCTCCTGGCGTGAGGGGACAGCCAGCAATGCATGCGGGTGGCTAGGGCCCAGCTGGACTACCACAGGTGTGTAACAACGCAACATTACCTCACAGATGAGAAGGAGCGTGATGGCAGACTTCCACTGCAGGGCTAACACCCCACCAAGCTTCCTGTCACTAGTCATCTATGTCACCAATGCTAAGCCTAGCCTCCTGGGGGGCCCGGCCTTCCTCCACCCCTCAGCCAGCTGAAATCCTCACCTTTCCATGGGTGTTGAGTGTTGAGAGGGCTGCATCTAACATGCACTTCCGCACATCAGGATTTCGGTCGTTGAGGGCATCAGGGACAAAAAACTGAAAGAGGGGCTTCACCTGAGAGCTGTCCAAATACTCAGATAGTTTGTTCAAGGCCAAAGCCAAGCCACACCTGGGGAAGAAGTGGGAGTGAGTCAGTGGAGTGAGATCGGGCCAGGTGTCCAGTCTACCGATAAGAGTAATTCCAGGCCATCAGAAGAGAGGGCCAGTACTTACTTACCCAACAGTCTGGACAAGCAACCTATCAAACAGGCCCACCCTCAGCCCCGAGTTTACCCCTGGCAGGATGGCCCAGGGCAGAAGACCAGCTCTGCTTGGTGTCCCCGTGTGTAAATGTGAGGCCTACCCCTCTAGCTCCAAGGTAGGTCAGAGGAGGAGAGGCGAGAGGTGAAGGTACTGGATGTGCTCAGAGGTGAACACAGTCTACAAAGACAAAGTGAAATTCCTCTCTCCAACTGTAGCGTGGTAGGAAGGCTCCAAGGGCAAAGAATCAGTGGCCCACACTCGGCTGATAGTCTCGAGGGAAAAGGCAATACTCCCCACTTGCGAGAGGGGCTGAGACATCACTCCGTCGGAATGGAGAACACCGAGGCCAGCCACTCAGGGAGCCAATATCTACCACGTGTCTACCACACACCTGCTCTAGGAAGGGTCTTCCAAGGTCACTTGCTCCCTAGTCCTCCAACTGCTACTCTTAGGCACTGAGGGAAAGGAGCTAACATTCACTGATCACTTAACACGCTGTTGTTACAGTTGATTCTTATCACGCTATTAAGTAGGTTCTCTTATCGTACCCTTCATGCTGCTGAAGAAACAAACCGAAAAAACGGAGAAGTGGACCTAGGGTCACACAGCCAGTACCCACAGACGCCAGCACTAGAACCCAGGTCTTTGGTGCCAAGGTCATGCTAGCCTCGCTGTCCCAGCACCCGCCCAGCCAACGAGGGCAAGCTCTGAGAATGACAAGGGCCACACTGGTATACCTGGCTTCCCACTGATCTGGAGGAGATTCTGAAATAACTCGTCCCAAGGCATCCAGAACCGGGGGTGGTCGCTGCAACAGACGAGAAGATAAATGCTCTGTGCAGTTTGCTCTCCCTGGCCCCCAGGACTGTGAGGCGGACTATGTACGGGCAGAATCCAAGCTCACGTGGCACCACCCAGAGCCTGTCAGTACTCACATAGAGCTTCTCCTGGTAGATCTCCATGAGCCGGCCCATGACTTCCGCAGCCTGCCACTGGTAGCGTGCAACTGCCTGGGCGAGGGCTTCAGCCCCCGCCTGCCTGACAGCCGCCTCATAATAAATGACATCATCAATCAGCAAGGAGCAGAGATCAGGCTGTAGGTCGAGCTCCATCGATGACCAGAGCCTGTGCAGATGCCAGGCAAGGGGCTAGTTAGATAAGGTCCTGCAGCTTCTCTGCCTAAACCCGGCCACCCCGGCTTTCCCTCCACTGTGGGCTGAGCACACCTGCACTGGAGCCCCTCTCTTACAGCGGGGTGAGGACAGAAGAAGGAAATTTAGACCTTCCAGCAACCCTCACCTCTCAGCCAGCTTCCGGATCTCCTCCTCCTTATCAAACTTGACCACCCAGAGCCGCCGTAAAAGGTTCAGGCCATTCTTCTCATCAGTATCGGGCACTGGCAACACCATGTGGAGCTCCATCAGCCCCTGCCGAGATGGGGGCACACAGGGCCGTGTGAATTGCAGCCTTGTAGAGCAAGAGCTTCTGACCTGCCTCTTTGCCTTCCTCTGGGACTGTTCTATCAAGATGCAGCCAGTGGCCACGTGTGGCTACTTAAAGTAAAATCAAGTCGGAATCATCGCAAACACAGCTCCTCAGCGCCGCCAGCCACTGCAAGTCATCAATGACCGTGTGGCTACTGGGAGTGCTGGGAATCAAGTCAGCACTGTCTGCTGGTCTCGTGTGGAATGATGGTGTGCATTGGCAGTACTGCTGTCATTCTGCCAGAAGAACAACAGGTCTGTGTTGGAAGACGTATAGCCAGAATGCTCCTTAGAGGTAAGGAAGGCCAGACTTGTTCTCACATACTTTGGTCATGTTATCAGAAGGGCCCAGTTCCTAGAGAAGGACATCATGTGTGGTATAACAGAAAGTCAGCAAAAAAGAAGAAGATTCTCAAGAAGATGGACAGACACAGTGTCTACAACAATGGGCTCAAACACAGTAATGATTGTGAGGTTGGCGCAGGACCAGGCAGTATTTCATTCTGTTGTACAAAGGGCTGCTATGAGACATGACTGATTCGATGGCACCTACCAATGGTGATAGAGCTTTTTTTTAAATGTAAAATTTAGAAGTTTAACTCAAAACCAAACAGACAAACTTTCTGAAAAAGGTAGGTCCCTGGTGGAATGAATTTAGCTCTAACAAAAATTACCACCTTGCCCTTAGCTTCCATATTTTTAACTAGGTACCAGTGAAAACTGTCAACCACAGGCAGTTTCAGACTAGCGTCTGAGAACCACTCCAATAGGATTCTTTAGTTTGGAGCCCAAAAGCCACCAAGGAAAAGTCAAGTACAAGGTGGTGAGTTGAGAACATGAACTAACCCTGTCAGTTACACCTGTCTATAAAACTACCGCACCCCACCTTCCATGTAAAAACACAGATGCCATCTTCAAAAGTGAAGGGAAAAAACAGAAAACAATACATTGCAACTGATTAGTTGTTCTGATTCTCAGGAAGACCCAACCCAAGACCCCTTCTCACTGCCTCTCTAGGACACACTGATGTAGACATGAGGCAGCTCCCAACAGGGTGAGGGATGGTCTCTCAAAAGCCCACTGTGAGCTCAAACTGGAATATAGTGACAAGTGAGGATGGCAGTGGACCACGAAGACAGTGGGCACTTACCCGGAGCGCGGTGTCCCGCACGCTGGCACACGGGGACTGCAGGGCAGAGAGCAGCACGCCCACCTCCTCCTGTTCTGCGAAGGCACAGCCATCCTCTCCGCTGCTGCTGGCACACAGGGTGGTCAGCGAGTCTGAGGCCAGAACCTGCACAGAGCATTGGCCCGCGGGGTTGAGTTCATACTCTAGGGTTCAGAGCGGGAAAAGAACTGAGAATACCCACCCCTCACCCTCCACAGACCCATGAGAGCCGGGGCAGAGTAGCAGGGCTAGGAGAACTGTGCAGGTCAACAAACAGCTCTTCTGACCAAGTGCAAGAGTCAGGGATGGGGGGCAGACCACCAGGATCCCCGCCCACATTGAGATCTATATTCACAGAACAAATGACAGTAGCTGCCAGCTGAAAGCCAGATCACCTGTAGGCGGGGAGAGCCCGTCCCGATCACCCAGGTCAGCAGGCGCAGCATGGCCACTCGAGGTAGCAGCTCCGGCCCATTCTAGAACACAGCAGAGTCAGCTCAGGGAAAGTATGTAACCAAGCCCAGAAGCCAACCAAGGCCTCCTCCCGCCTTCAGGCTCCACAGTACGTTTACCACTAAATTCATAGGAACCAGTTTCAGTCAACCATGACCCTCAGAACATAAAAAAAGAACCGTGAAGCTGGCTAAGAATCACAAACCATGACATGCAGAAGGCCTGCACACATACAAATACTCCATTTTTATAAAAAGAAAAAAGCAAAATAAAATGAGGCCCCATTCTTCTTCCATCTCTGGGGAGATTACCACTGTCTGAGGTTGAAGCAGGCCTGGAGAAAGGAAGCTCCTAGTAAGGGGGCACCTCAGAATATCCCACGGGACCCAGGAAGCCCATCCCGTTCCCCCATGGGCTGTGTGAGGCACACATATGAGGGGGCTTTAAAAAAAAAAAAAGTTCGTGGACAAATGGAATAAAAGATAATGAAATTTTTTCACAAACTTTGTGAAGTACACTCATACATACTGGTGTGGCACTGTAGTATCAGCAATGAAATGCTAACACAAGGTTGGCAGTTCAAACCCACCAGCTGTTCCTTGAAAACGCTATACAGATTCGCTAAGAGTTAGAAATAACTCAACAGCACTTAACAATATACAAGAGTACATTATCATAGCACTGCTCAAAGCAGGGAAGAGCCAGGAAAGTTAAACTGTCCATCAGTGAGAGTTCAATAGACAGTGTCCACAGTGGAGACTCCCACACAGCCAGGGCAATCAACAAGTGGATCCCTAGGAAATGACATGGAAACAGACCCAGGGCATACAAACATGCGAAGAAGCCCACAGTACCCCTATGGGGGTAGTCCTGGTGTGGCGCTGCGGGTTAATGTGCTGGACTGCAAAGTCTCTTTGAACTGCAAGGTCAGTGGTTCAAGCTCACCTGCCATTCCTCAGAAACTCTATACAGGGTTGCTATGAGTTGGTACTGACTTCACAGCACTTAACAACAATCCTTATGGGTGTTAAGTTTCGCACATGCTTAAAATTTTCACAAGGGTATACACTAACAAAAGTTACCTCGGGGGTGTAGTATTTCCTCTTTAGCTTCTATATTGTTGGCATTTTTTAAATATGCAAGGATTACTTTTACCATGGAATTTATTACAGAGAAAGCCTCTTAACTGAAGGAGGCCTAATTTCATAAGCATGAACAAGTCAGAGTCTGCTATCTTGAGTTAGAACTCAAGTGTTACAGACTGAACTGTGTGCCCAAAACATCCGTGTTGTAAATCCTAACCTCTCTGCCTGTGGTTATAATCCCATTTGGGAGTACGCTGTCTTCATTATGGCCATGAGGACGGACCCTATAGGTAGGGTGTATCCTAAGTCGCTCTCTTTTGAGATATAAAAGAAACTAAGCAAGTCAGCAGAGAAAGAGATGGGTAAGATGGATGCCAAGACACATGGAGCTCTCCAAGGAACCAGGAAGCAAGCAGCTGAACAAGGGCCTTCCCCTCAAGCCTGCACTGGAACTTTGGACTTTCAGATCCCTAAACTATGAGAAAAGAGATTTCTGTTTGTTACTGAATAGGTGGTACTGAGAGTGCGGTGCTAATCTAACAAATACCTGAAATGAGGAAGTTGTTTTGGAATTAGGTAATGGGTAGAGGTTGGAAGAGTTTTAGGGTACCTAACAGAATCCTGGCGTGGTGCTATGGGACAACGCACTGGACCACAAAGTCAGTTGGAACCACAAGGTTAATGTTACAAATTCACCAGCAGCTCCTCGGAAACCCTATACAGGTTCTCTGTGAGTTGGAATCAACTCATAGGCACTTAACAACAACCACAGAGTCCTGGTGTGGCACTGTAGGATAATGCACTGGACTGCATGGTCAGGTTGAGCCGCAAAGTTGATGGTTTAAACCTACCAGCTGCTCCTTGGAAATCCTCCACAGGGCCACTATGAGTCAGAATGGACTCAAAGGCACTTAACAACAACAGCAATAGTAAAAGCCTAGATGGCCCTGAAGAAAATTCTGAACAAAGGCAACTCTGGTAAGGGCTCAGAAGAAAGTGAAGGAGCCACAGAGAAAGTCTCTATTGTTCTAGAGAACATTAAAAGAAAATGAAGAACATGTCATTGGACAATGAAAGAGAGGGATCCCTTATATGCAGTGGTCAAAAACTTGTATGGGATCAACTTGGGTATTTGGTTGATGAGAATGCTAAGCTAGATCTTAAAGGGATCGAATGGTTTCTCTTTGCTGCTTATGGTAAAATGCTAGAGGAAAGAAATGGACTTAAAATGAACTGAGCAAAATGAAAACAGAACTTAAAGATTTGGAAAAATCTGCTGTACAAACTAGGGAAATGTGTCTACTATACACCATTGTACTCTGGAAACAGATAACTTGTTTTCTAGATTTTACAGGATCACAGATAAGAGGAATTTGGGCCCAGGATGGAATACACTTAAAGTCTCACCCATATTTGATATGGATGATTCAGAAGATGATATTTGAGACTTGGAGTTGATTTAAGACTTTTGCAATGATGTGATGAGCTGTATGTGTCTCGCATGTGGCAAAGACACAAGTTTTGGAATGTTGTGGATTGAACTATGTCCCCACAAACTCTGTACTGCAAATCCTAACCTTTATGTCTGTGACTATAATCTCATTTTGGAATGAGTTCTTTTGTTATGTTGACGAGGCAGGGTTGGTATATGTGGTGTGACTTCAGTCAGGTGCTTTTCAGATATAAAAGAGATTAAACAAGCCAACAGAGAGAGAGGGTAAGATAGATATCAACAGACAGGGAGATCTCCAAGGACTCAGAAAGCAGAAACTGAAGAGACTAGGTCTATCTCCCAGAGCCAAGAAACAAAGCTTCCCCCTCTAGACTGTGCACTCTGAATTTGGACTCCTAGCTTCCTAAATGATGAGAAATACATTCGTATGCTAAGCATCCATTTGTGGTATTTCTGATATAGCAGCACCACATAACTAAGACAGCAAGCAAACACAAAATCAAATACACGCAAAACCATTCAATGTTTTGAGGAGACATGTAAGCTTCTTTGAAGCTCTGAGAGCTGCACAAAGAGAGCACTTTGGTCCTCCCTGCCCTCAGCTGCTGTTCTAGGTAGAAATACACCCTTCTCTACTTCCCCACCAGGAAGCTCCTAGGGAGAGTAGAGATCCCTGCCAACCTCATCCACCCGCCCAGGCAAGGTGCTGGGCGAGGCCCTCAGCTGGGCATGGACGGTAAGGATCTGAAGAATCTGGGCCATCCGCTCCTCCTCCTCCTCACTGTGGTGGGGCATCTCTGTCAGCACCATCTTCAGAAACGGGAAGACTAAGGAGAAGGCTGGTGCAGACAATGGCGCAGCATCTGTGAGGGCAAAAAGCAGGCACCAGGCTGTCACTGCCTTAGTCCCCATCCTCAGGGCAATGGGCACTGGGGTAGGAGGGAGGCCCCTTTCTGACACAGGAAGTCATGGTACAACTCTGACAAGACAGCAGGAAGCCCAATTCTAAATCCCATCTCGCCCCTCTCATGACTATTGCCCAGCCCACAAGGTGAGAGTAACAACTGAGAAATGGTTCCGGTGACAAGAGGTTCACCTCAACGGCAGTCACGGTGACTCACAGAACACCCAGACTGGACTCCGAAATCCTCCAGCTGGCCCAGCCCCCACTTGCCAGACAAGTAAAATGAGTAAACCAAGGCCAGGAAGGCTACAGACTCAGGATGCCTGGGGATGCCTTCCCCTTACCTGGTTCACTCTTGCCCACTCTGCTGGGGATGGTGTGGGAGTGCAGCAGGCTCACTGCCCTCTTCACGGCCACAGCTAGCTCCTCCTGGCACCAGGACTTATCCAGAGCACACTCTGGCTTCAGCAAGCGCAGAGTCACATGGCTCACCAGAGTGCCTATAGCCAAGAGAAGGGGTCCCATGGGGAATGACCCAGGCAGAGGCTCAGGACCTGGCCCCACACAAATGAGTGGCCGAGCATGGCGGCACCTCATCCCTGGCGTAGAAACCTCTTCTGCTACGTCAAAACGCCCTCCACCTAATTCCCCAGTGGATCATGACAGTGCCCAAGGGTAGGTGGGCAAGAGGCTGCCCTCTGGACATTCAAGAAAGTGTAACAATGAGAGGAGGCCTGGCCCAACCAAAGGTTATTTCGCCAGGAGTAAATGTTCTGCCTCCCCATCCATGCAGCACATCCTGCCAGTTAGACCACACTTCCTGCAGCTTCCACACTACATGGACTGACTTTTCCTGATTTTTCCCACTCAGAATGCTTCCCAGGTCCCAGTGTCACTCTTCAAGCTAGGATGGAACCTGCTTCAAATCATGAAACCACCCAAAAGTAAACCCACTTTACATCTGACCACCCTACCTGACTTCTATTCACCCCACAGCTAACAGAAAGTAATGGTCCCAGACGTCTCTGACCTCAACTGGTTGATGGCTGCCCTGATGGGTACTGCTATAGCAAAACCATCCTGACTGGCACTCAGCATATAACTTCTTAGCTTAAAACTGACTAGAGTCTAAAATGTGGTCCTTGGAGCTCAGGCACAGCGGACACACAAAGAAAGGACAGAACAGTGCTTCTACAGATACGCAGCTTGCGGTTCACAAGGCTACCTCCACATGCAGGCCAAAAAGGCAGTCGTCCGCATTTCCACAAGCCTCCCACACACACGCCCCTTCCCCATCCCAATGTCTCCACCAGTGGACAAGCACTAACCCACGGCCTTGAGTCGAGGGGGCAGGACACACGTAGCCAAGGACAGGAAGGGGTTCTTGATCCTGGGAGCAGCCAGGGGAGACTTCAGCAAGGGCAGGAAGGAGTCAACCAACACCGGGATGTACTGGGTCAGGCCAGATGGGTTCTTGGCCAATACGGTGTCCAGGAGACCTAGTGCTGCCTCCAACTCACTGTCCAGCTGCAAGCAGAGTGTCCATGAGGCAGTCAACATGGCCCTGCTCCAGACAGAGCAGACAGGCATGTGCCTGGCCACCCGACATTGTCTTACCTCCTGCAGGCGCCTTCGGATCTGTGCCTCTTTGTCCAGTTGGGCCTGCAGCATCTCCTTCTGCTTGCTGGTCAGCTGTACCTCCTCTTTTATGCCCTTCTTCTTCTTTATCTCCTAGAGAAAATGGGCAACCCAATTCCATTTCCAAGGAAGTAGTCTCCCTCCCAACCACAGAGGAAGGCGAGCTCAGGCCCCCAAACAGCACCATGCCAGTGCTCAGCCTAAGCAGAGAAATCACATGGTCATTCAAGTGTTTGTTGAGCACCTGCATTGTGCTGGGGGCACCATGGGGAACGAGACAGACAAGGTCCCTGCCCTGACAGAGCTCACAATCTAGGAGGCGGACACAGACGATGGACACATGAACACAGAAACAAGGTGGTTACAGGTCATGATGAAGGGCAACATGAAGAAATAAGGAAGATGCATAGTGACTGGGCAGAAGGGCTGGGCAGGGTCACCTCTGAGAAGGGGACATGTGAGCAGATGTTGACGTCAAGAACCTACCCTTGTAAAGAGCGAGGGAAGAGCAGAGGGTCCGAGACAGGAAAGAGCCCTGCGGGTCTGTTAAGAGCTGAATACGGCAGTCAAGCCTCCATTCACGGAGACCCCTCGGGGCCAGGCCCTGTGCCTGCTGGAAGCAGTCAGACAGGCCCAGCCTTCAAGGAGCTGGGGGATGGCATGGAGGTCAGCACCACCGCATGGTGAATGTCACTGTTGGTGCCACAGATCCCAGTTTTGACTCATAGTGTCCCCATGTGACAAAACAGTTGCCCCATAGCATTTTCTAGGCTGCCATCTTTACGGGAGTACATTCCCAGGTTTGGAGCCACTGGGTGGGTGCAAACCACCAACCTGGAGGTTAGTAACCGAGTGCTTAACCAGCATACCACCAAGGCTCCTTACGTGGCAAATAAACCCAAAACCAAACCACAGCTGTCAAATATAATTCCAACTCATAGTGACCCCTGTGACAGAGAAGAGCTACCTCACAGGGTTTTCTTGCCTGGCGTCGTGTTGGGGGTAGATTGCCAGGCCTTTTTTCCCAGAAAACCATCGGGTAGGTTCAAACCGACAAAGTTCTGGTTAGTACTGAGTGTGTAACTGAGCCACCAGAGCATCTAACATAGTAAACAACGAACCGTGAAGTTCACTGTCATTGAGTCGATTCCAACTCATAGCAAATACTCAATGCTAAATAGTAAAAACTGCTGTCTGCACCGAGTGGAGAGAAACATAGGAGTCCTGTTGTGGAGCTATACGCTCAATACTGAACTGCTAACTGCAAAGTTGACAGTTCAAACCCACCAGCTGCTCCTCGGAAACCCTATACTGGGTCGCTATGTGTTATGGCACTTAATAACAGCAACAGCAGAGTTGGGGGCCGTGGGAACTCTAGAGAAAGGGCAACTTGTGGCAGCAGGACCAAGGGATGGGTGGGGGCATCAGAGGAGTGTGCTGTGAGCATTAGGAAAGCCCAAGGAAGCAGCCCATAAGCAGCTGACGGAGCCAGGGGCTGCGGCAACCCTGCTCTGCATGCGGCATGTCTCTGTGCACTCACCTCCTTCAGCTCCAGCTCAATGATCTGCTCCTTGAAGGAGTAGGCTTTGTTCTCCCGCTTCATGTTGGCCTTTTTGATGCTATCCTGCTGAGCACTGAAACACCGGAGCAGCCCATCAGTCCAGCCCAGATCCCACCCAGCTTGAAAGAGTCCCTGCGTTGTGTAAACACTCTTGACTGCTAGTTGAAAGGTCGGTGGGCTCGAATCCACCCTTAGACAACCTTGGATGGACTCCAAGGCCTAGAGATCAACTTTTAAAAAATCTGCCCTAAAAACCCCTCTGGAACATGGTTCTACTCTGATGTAGCTGGTGCTGCCATGAGTTAAGAGTGGACTCAATGGCCAACTGGTCACCGGTGAACTAACACAGTGCTGGCCACCTGCGAGACTCTTGTATCTGGAGCCTGAGCTCTAAGCCCAGAAAGGACGAGCTGCTTCACTCACTCATTCCTCACAACCGCTCACAAAGGAGGCAGTGTGTCCACCTTGCTGCCAAGGAAGCCGATGCTTGGGGAGGAAGGCACTGAGTCCATGAGTAGGGAAGTGGGCCTCACCTCTGGATAATGGATTTGTCATACAGCTCCCCAGCAGGGGTCTGCATAATGGCGAACTCCTCACGCGTCACCTGGCACAGTGCCGGGTTCTGCACAGAGGCAGTGATGGTGCTGATGATCTGTGGAAGGACTCGGTCCGGGGACAAGAGGGACAGGGAGCCCATGGCATTCCTAGAAGACTGCCAGACAAACAGACGTGTCAGTGTGGACCAAGTTGAGAGGTCCCTGCAGGCCGCTGCCACTTCCTTTCTGAGCACTGTCCTCCAGCATGGTCTCTAGTCCATTTCTGCCGCCTACTCAGCAAGCATTCATCCCTGGTTCTGCTGAGAGCACTCTGGTTTAAAGGGGGCACACTAGTCACACAGCCTCAAACTCTATAGCAAAGGTAAAGCTACCCCACCCTTAGTGGGCATGTGACCCAGGCTAGAGGGATGCGCATCAAGTGAGTCAGGGACACTCAGACTGCAGGCCAGGTGATATTTTGGGAAATATTGGGAACAGTATAGATGCTAAGCTGCCACCATGCTAGCAGACAGGGAGAGGGTGTCTGAGAATGGAGCCCCATGGTGGAGAGCAGAAGCAAGAGATACAGAACATCAAAGGGACACCACTAACTGTCCTAAGGGCGATGCCTCAGTCCCTGTGCCAGTACCACCCAGAGTCAGCCAGAGCCTCGGACTGCACAGTCCATGAGGCAGCAGGTGTCCTTTTGTCCTTAAACCAGTTTGAGTGTCTGGTCACTTACAACTTAAGCCCACGTTCCCTTCACACCCTCACCCACTTCTCTGTGTGGGAACCTGTACACATACCACTCACCTGGCTCAGAGGGCTCTGGGTGGTGATCCGGGGTATGATCTGATCCAGGTGTCTAGTGATGAAGGCTTCAGGGTCGATCTTCATCCTGGCGAGTAGCGCTGGCCAGAGTCCAGCCTGCACGGTCACTGAGGGGAGGATCTCCTTGAGGCCTCTGCCTGCCAGATGGGCCCCACCTGCCAGCCCCACCCCACCCCCGCTCCGCTTCAAACCTAAGGAGGGGTGGTGGGAGACAATCAGCATCTCCTGGACCAGCTGCTCGAGGTTGGCAGTGTCTCCCGCCAGCCCCGGCACCCCAGAGATGACACACAGAGCTTCCTGCAGTACCCGTGGGGGCACGGTGGCCTTGCCCACTTCAGTCACCTCTCCAGCATCAGTCACCAGAGCCTCTGAGGACAGTACCTGTGTGAGGAACACACATGAGCCCCTGATGCTCTGAGCCCTGTGCAGACTGGGCACAGAAGGGACACCAGGACGTGGCTGCCTCTCGCTCACTGGCCTTTCAAGAGGTGTCTGCTGGAGTGGCAGGCTAACACCCAGCTTCCTGCACTGGGATCCTCAGGCTGAGGTGTGATTGGACGGAAGAAGTGTCCCTAAAAAGCCCACAGAGGAGGAGGGAGACAAAAAATATGGTCTAGGCTACCTCATCCATGACTGGCCAATATTCCCCCAAGAGTCTGTGGAAGGAGGGAGCAAGGAGCCAGGGCAGTGAACAGCACTCAGGTCTTAGGGTCTACTCCCAGTTCTGCCCTGCCCTGGCTGGAGACCCTGTCAGTCCAACACTCCAAGCCTTTGGTCTGTTCTAGGCATAATGGGACAGCAAAAGGGAGAATGGGGAGGAAAGATGTAAAGAGTGATAAAGTGTTTTATAAATGTTCCATAGTACACAGTCACTCTAAGATAAAGTGGTTGAGCTGAAAATCATTAGGCTTGAAAGAAAAGGAGAGTCTCTATAAAGGAGAAGGTGTCAAACGACACAAGAGGCTCCTGGAGCAGGAGAGGACCAGAGTCTTAGGAACGAGAAGAGCCAGGAGCGGCCCAGCCAGAACTTCACAAATGGGGCCTAGAGCCCAGATGCACCCACCCTGTGAGAAGTGAGGACAGCTTTCAGCTCCTCCAGGAGTCCACACGCCAGCTTGAAGCCCCCGAGAGAGGACAGCAGCTTGCGAACCGTGTGTTGGGCCTGCTTGCGGACATGCCAGGTCCGGCTCAGGAGCACTGCTACCAGAGCCCGGTGGTACTGCCTGCAAACACAGGGCACCAGTCCAATGAAAGCCGGGGTACAGGGCTTTCCACAGCCAGCTCTCCCCTCCTTTTCTACAGGTAAGCCCTCCCCTCCCTTTCCACAGAAAGCCCTCTACCTCCTTTATAAGCCCACTTCTCAAGACCCTGTCAAGATTGGCCTCATTTAGCCCATGGGAACCAATCAGCCTCACATACTGAACAAGGTTGCTTCCGGTGAGTCTGTGTGGGTGGTCAAGGAAGAGTCTCTCTGTCAGATGCAAAACAGTGCACAGGGCTAGGAGGGGAGAGAAACAGAAAAGATTTTTAAAATACGTATGTGTTTTTAAAAGAGAAAGAAATGAAACATTAACAGCAAGAGATAAAGTAATGATTCCTGGATGGGTAATTATGGGTCTCATAGTCCTCCTTTCTGCTTCTCCCACTCCTCTTTATGGAATGAGTTCCAAGTTAAGAAAGCACAGTACGTATGATAGTCACTTGACTAGCAAACTAACTCATGAAGGCATGTATTGTATTTATCTGAAATACACAGAATGTTTTTTTAAAGCTGATGAAATTGGCAATCTAAGAAGCAGAAAAGGGGTGGTGCAGTAGTTAACCAGGAGGTCACTGATTTGACCCCGTCAGTCGCTCCATGGCAAAAAGATGAGACAATCTGCTTCCTGACAAGTCATAGCCTTGGAAGTCCTACGGTCAATTCCATTCTATAGGGTCTCTATGAGTCAGAATCAACACAATGGCCTTACGTTTGGTTCTAATGAGTATCAGCAGAAAACCTGGTATCTAAAGATTACAGGAGTCCTGGTGTGGAGCTACGGGATAAGCACTCAACCATACGGTCAGTATGAACCGAAAGGTCAGTGGTCCACTCACGAGCCGCTCCTTGGAAATCCTCCTATACAGGGTTGTTATGAGTCAGAACCAACTGAATGTACTTAACAAAAGTTAAAGAATTTCCCAGTCTAGCCCCTCTTGCATGAGGGGGCTTAAAAATTCCATTATCTCCTAATTCCATTTTTCCACCAACTTTTTGAAGCCCCCCTCATAAATTTTAACTTTTAATTGTGTGAATTCGTTCCCTAGTTAAAAACTAGCTAAAATTTTCAAAATTCAGGAAACTGGAGAACAGTAGTAGCTCATTAATAGAATGTTGTGATTTCTAAGTCAAAAGTCTTTCCAAATGACTAATTAGTGGCAGACTCCCTAAGGCAATCGAGGTTTTTGAACATTCATTTAAAGATCAACTGATGCTTTTCTGCCAAGATGAAACGTACTATTTGCATTTTCTGCTGAAGGAGTGGGGTCTGCTTCGACTCCCCCAGGGATTCTCAGCTTCCTCTTCAACACAAGAAAACCTCTGAGACAGCACCAATTAACTAATCTGTGATCATTACAACGAATGCTGTGGCTTAAGCCACACTCATTACTACTGTCTCCACAAATCTCCCAACCTCACACCACATGCCATCTCCCTCCCTAGTCTTCACCTTCTCCTCAAACATGGATTTGGTCCCCCAAAAGCCCAGCAGTTGGTCAGGTATCTAGAGCTGACCTGGAAAGGTCTCCCCTGCCCAAGCAACTCAGCCCCAATCTCGAGTTCAGCTATGTGGGTGCTAACTCACCATCCTCCGAAGCCATGAGCAGGAATTTCTCGGATGTGAAAATCTGCTTCTTCTCATCCACAATCAGCTGCCAGAAACCACTCAGCTTGGCCTCTGCAAGATACAAAGGTCACTGAGGCACAGCTCATCATTTCTACCAGGTCTGGCCCCCTCCTCCTGGCTCTGCTGGCAGAATCTGCCCTCAGGGAGGCAGGAGTACACCTCCAGCAGGGGCAGGTCATTCCTGGGCTCAAGGCCCTTCCCCATTCTAAAAGTTAACTGTAGTCCTTCTACTGCCATTTCCTGTACGAAACCCTTCACTGCTACCCACAGGACCTGGGTGAGCTGCTTCCCACTAGGCATGTCCACCTATCCTGGGCTCTGGCTGAGCTGGAATGAATACTGAGGGTCACACACAGCCTTCCTTGCTCTTCCCTGACTCCAGGCTGGCTGGGGCTCACAATGGCCAGTGAAATCCTTTTAGTCGTCAGGGCCTGACTCAAATGCCTCCTCCCTCAGGAAGTCTTTCCAGACAGCACCCCTACCTCCCAAACTACAAGTAATCTCTCCATGAAAAGTGTTCTAATCCCACAAGCAGCTGAAACCACAGGCACCTCTTCACATTCTCTCTCCTCCTAGAGCAAGCACCCTGAAATGTGCTGAAGCAAAGGCTTGTTCTGCTCTGCAGCCCAGCTAGTTAGCCCACTGCCACAGCACATTCACAGTGGGCACAAAATAAGAGTCCAACTCCCTCTCCAACCACAGAAATGAACTCAAGTACGTGCACTGAGCAAGAGGGGACTATGATATCACGGCGTGCCATGTAGCCACAAAACAAGAATGAGGAAGCTCTGCTGCGCTGACTGGGGTAATTTTTAAGATATTTTCAGCATACACTATGGAGTCCTGCTGCGATGCTGTAGGATGAGCACTGACCACAAGGAGAGTTTGAACCACAAGATCAGAGGTTCAAACTCAACAGCTGCTTCTCGGGAACCCTACACAGGGTCACTATGAGTTGGAACTGATTAGATGGCACTTAACAACATATGACCTACGTAGTTAAATACATGAAGTATTGGTGGCGCTGTGGGATAGAAAATGGAATGCTAACCGAAAATTCAGCAGTTCGAACCCACCAGCTGCTCTATGGGAGAAAGATGAGATAGTCTGCTTATATAAAAATTTACAGCCTAGGAAACCCTCTGATGCAGTTCTAATTCTACCCTACATGGTGGCTGTGGGTCGAAATGGACTTGATGGTAGTGGGTTTGGCTGGGGAGTATGCTATCTGGCATGCCAGGATGACTACTCAACCATCTCTGGACAGCAAGCTGGTAAGACTGTCCAAAGAAGGGAATGGAATGGCTGGGGACAGGACTAAGGGAAAGCTTGTCACATTGTATGAGGAGACTCTCAAAGGTTCATGGAAGAAAGGGAGGTTAGCAGAGGCAACATGAAGGTAGCAGGAGACACAAGGAGGAGTGAAAGAGTGAAAGGAACTAGAGACAAACACTTAACTAAAGGTACATGAAGAGGATTGCAATCACTGCAATGAAACCAAGTATATGATGTTGAATGCAAACCTGATGCACTGCTCTGTAATTCATAATAAAAAGTTTATGGAAAATAGAATCCAGTGATAATAGCATTTTCTCACAAACTTCCTAAAGCCCCTTCATAATTTAGAAGTATGTTGTGCTCTAGGAATTTATATGCACCCTGGAGGCCGAGGTTTAAGTGTTAAACTAATAACTGCAAGGTCAGTGGTTGAAACCCACCAGTCACATCTCAGGAGCATAAAGCATAAAGATCCACAGTCTCAGAAACCCAAGGGAACTACTCTGCCCTAGAGGATCACTATGAGTCGGAATCAACTCATTAGCAGTGGAGTCTGGTTTATGAATAGATAGCTGATTACAGCCAGCCGCGCTACTGAGCCCAAGTCAGTCTGGGTGTCGTCTGCAAGCCCTGGAGCAACAGGAGGATGGAGGTGGAGTCCCCTGGTCCATTTCCATCGCCCAGGCAACCCTGAAGCTCTTTTCTGCAGACCTGACGTAGGGTGGTAAGTGGTCAAGCTGACCTTGTCATAGCCTGCTCATCTCTGCATCTTACCAGCTTGTGTGTCAGCCATCGACAACTTCACGAGCAGCAGGGCTGCAGCAGCCCCCTCAGTGACAGCGGGAACCTGAGTGCTTTGGGAGCCTGCCTTCTCCACAGTCTGGAGAAGTAAGGGCAGGAAGTCCAGGGCCTGTAGCAACGTGTCACCTGAGGAGAGAAGACAAGATGCTCACAGAACAGGCCTAATGCTGATAGTGACAAGTTCACCTCAGAAAAGAATCTCCCGCCTGGGTGTGAACTGGCTGACACAAACCTCCTGTGAAACGTATCAAACATCACACACAAAGAAACAGAATGGCAGTTTGGATGTTTAAGCCAAGCAAACACTGTAAAACCAGAGCTAGAAGGATCTTCACTAATCAAATAGTCCAGACACTCATTTGATGGATGAGGAAACACATGGGTAGTGTCCAGTCCAGTTTTACAACTTTCTGAGGGAGAATGCAGCTCAAACTTAAGCCTCTAACTTCCTATCGGGTACTGTCTCCCACATTCCAAAAGCAGAGTGAATCTGCTAACCTGTGCACTAAACCCATTCAAGAAACATACAGAAACTAGTTAAAACTGTTATCTCAATAAATATGTTTTCTTAACTACTAAACAGAAACATCAAAACATTTTCACAATGAAACCAATCCTTTGTCCAGATGATATCAGGAATTGGAATACAAGACACAGTTATGCTAACATTTATTTTAAAGCCCCAAGGAGAATTAGTTCAAGCTGAAGAGGCAAGGTTCACCCAAGTCTCTGCTGTCTAGGAATGCCACCTAAAACAGCAACTGGACCCAGGAGCGCCTAGATGGTTTGGGAATCACGGGTGTGTGTGCACTCCATCCCTAAGACAGCTGGCACGGTACTTCACTAACAGCTCTACCCACAGCACGTTCTATCTGTGGCTCTGCACAGACCTCACGGGTCACTGAACCAAGATGGCCTGGGACTTTGAGTCCAGAGATGTATTTCAGAACAAGCATCACTATTCTTCACTTGGGGTAAAAACTGCTGTTGAGTCATCACCCTTAATCATTAAAGAAACAGGTGGGTGCAAATACATCAGCTAAGACTTCACTTTCACAAAAAAGGGTTATTCCTCTTTAGGGAAGAAGGTTTTGGAATCTCCTAGATTTTTCCCCCTTTTCCACGTTTATTCTTTCATACTTCTTAGCAACATCACTTACCTAGGTCAAGCTGTACCACTTCACCCATTCAGTGTTATATTTCCCATCACCAAAAATAACAAGTGTCTCAATTCCACCAGCTGCTCCTTGGAATCCCTATTCAGGGTCGCTACGAGTTGGACCCAACTCCATGTCACTAACAACAATAACTACTGGGAGAGTGTAAACCCCAAACCCTCTCTGCCCATCCTACACCTGGAAACCGCCAAGTGTTCATTTCTGTAGGTACACATATTCTTGTCTTTTTACAAAACTGAGATCAAACACTGTTTGCCCTTCTGTGATTGACTTATTTCACTCAACATGTCCTCTGGTTTACCCACATTACAATATGTTTCAAGAACTCATAATTAACCTTAAATGCTTATTTTTAAACACAGATCATCGGAAGTCTAACCCTTTTTAAAAGACGTGTATGCTCATCTCGGAGTCCTGGTGTGGCACTGTAGGTTAATGTGCCAGACTGCAAAGCCATTTGAACTGCAAGGTCAACGGTTCACCAGCTGCTCCTCAGAAACCCTATACAGGGTCGCTATGGGTCGGAATGGACTTGACAGCACTTCACAACAACACCATGCTCATCTCAGGGGCAAAATGAGCAACAGTTTCCTGCCTCAGCAATCAAGTTCCTACATACTTGAATGTTACATTACCACTAGCTCTGCTGTGGGAGGACGTGATGCCCAAGCTCAGAGGACCAGTGGGCAGTGGTCATTGGCCCTAAGTTCAGAGCAGAGTTTCATCCAGTCAGACCTTGGATATCTGTCTTAGAAACCATTTCCATATGCTTTCAGAGAACGAGCTGAGCAGTTCTAGTCTGAGTCCTCTCTGAAGAAAGGGTCATACCCTGAAGGCCTGACAAAGGGGGAGGTGATGATTCTGGATTTCAAGGGCAACTAACTTCGCTACAGAGTCCTGGTGTGACACTGTTGGATAAACACTGGACTGGTAAGCACACGGTCAGCAGTTCAAACCCACCAGTTGCTCCATGGAAGTTCTATACAGGTCACTGTAAGTAGGAACCAACTCAACACCACACAACAACTTTGATGCTAGGGAGCCCTAGTGGCGTGGTGGTTAAGCACGCACCAGCTAACCTAGTTCACTAGTTCAAACCCATCAGCTGCTGCTCAGGAGAAGGATGTGGCAATCTGCTTCCATAAAGATTCCAACTTTGGAAATCCTACAGAGCCGTTCCATTCTGTCCTCCAGGGTCGCCAGGAGTTGTGAGGAACACGTCTGGTCTGCTTCTGCTCACATGCAGAGTACTCATGGCGACAATCAGATTAACCCCAATGTTCCCAGAGATTCAGGAAGAAACGATGCAAACAGCCTGACACCATGAGAATGGCCAGACCACCTGATCATCTTTGTGGGGGAGTCCTGGACACAGGCCCCCAGGAGGTCTCTTACCTCGGAAGGAGGCCAACATGCACTGCAGATAGGCGTGCCTCACTGCAGAGGTGGAGGTCTTAAGGCTGAAAGCTTTCTTGAACCATTCCAGGAGCTTCTTGGGCACTTCTGTGGTGAAGCGGTTACACCAGAGAGCCAGGACCGATACTGCATGTACCAAGGTGCCTTCGTGAACTAAGGCAGAAAGCAGACACCCAGTCAGTCCGGTAACCAAGTCCATCACTGAAGCAGCTTGGGCAGACAGGCAGGAGTAGATGGGAGTGAAAGCAGCCACAGGGAGTGGGCTCCCAGCATCTGCTCTCTGGGGAGGTATGTCCTTAGGAGAGGTTCACGGGAAGCTCCAGGTGTGAGCTCTTCCTACAGTCAGAGGAGGGTGTCAAACTGCATCCCACAGCAGGGCGCACAAAATTACCTTCTTGCTGGAGGAAGGGGATGAACAGCTCAGCCACGGCCCCATTCAGGACTTGACTGGAAGGCCCAGACACCACGTGATGACTGACACTCCCGATCCCTGAAAGACAGGAGATGCCTTCCCTGCTAAGCCTTTCTCACTGCCGACCACAGAGCAAAGTCCAGCTTCACAGTTCTCTTCTGAGTTAGCAGCAGCTAAGCCGCTCTTCTGGCCAATACGGACCCTCCCTCAAGCCCTCAAGTGTCCTGTCCTGCCTTTTATGGAAGCCTGGCAGGCCAAACAGCAGGAACAAGTCCTGGGAGCAAGGATGGGACATCCAAGATGGTCAGAGGATTTCAGATCCAAAGAAGGAGCCACCTGCTCTAACTGTTCCATTCCACCTCATCTTCTGCCAGACTCACCCAAGGACAAACAATGTACCTGAGAGGACACTCATCTTCTGGGTCACAACAGTCAGTTTCCCCTCTGAGCCTGAGTGAAGAGGCGGAAAACAAACAGTTCACATCTGTTGTTGGTCATTTCCTTCAATCTGTAAAGTTGACCTCTGGCAACTTTGCCATCAATTTCCCATGATCCCTAGCCACTATCCCGACTTCCAGTAGCATAGCTTACTCTCACGTAGTCTTAAACTTCCTATAACTGGAATACTTTCTGCTGTTTGGCTTCTTTCACTCAACAAAATGGTTTGTTCACAATGTTATGAGTAACAGGAGTTCGTTTATTGTTGTACAGTATTTCTTTGCATGATTCTATCACAATTTAACCATCTCTCTTTAGACAGGCATTTTGGGTGCTTCGTTTGGGGCTATTATGAATAAAAAGCTGGTATAAACAGTCTTTTTTTTTTTTTTTTTTAAATTCACATCTGTCACATTTCCCAAGTGGGTGAATAATGTACTCATATGTATGACACAAGATGCCAGTTCTGATGGCCCAGAAGTAGCCTTCTGTTACAAAGTTAGGTTGATAACAACAATGGCTAGTCTTTGGTCTTCTGACTGAAAAAACAATTACACTTTTAGAGAAAGTTTGGGAAACAGAAAAAATACAGAGATTTCAAAATTCATTTATGTTCTCTAAGTTATTACAAATATTACGGCATGGTGCCATAGGATAAGCACTCGACCTCAAGGTCGGTTTGGACTGCAAGGTAAGCAAATGAAATTCACTTCCAGCTGCTCCTTGGAAACCCTATACAAGGTCGTTATGAGTCGGAACCAACTCGATGACACTTAACAACAACAACAATGCTGTGATTATGATTTTAAATGTTATTAGCTTTTCAACATTATTTTGGGTACTTCCCTCTAGTTTTGTGCTATGCATATAAAGATGCACACACTGACAACACCACAACACAGCAGGCCTGGGGTCATGCTGTCTACCCTACCCTGCATGTGCGTTTGTTCACTTCTTACCCCACCACTGTAAATGTTAGTCCCCTTACATTGGGACCATCCACCCCCATCCACGAGCACACTTGGAACACCAAGAGCCAGTGTAGGGCTCAGTGTCCCAGGCAATGCCAGGGATACCTCAAACCAATGCCCATGGCCAAGGCTGCCCCACCTCCAAGGACAGCAAACAGGTGCTTGCTAAGAGCTTCCATCGCTGAAGAGTCGCTGCATTGGCGGGCCAGGTTCCGCAGTGCCAGCACAGCTTCATCCATTAGGCGCGGGCTGTTGGATTTCAACTGACCTGGACACAGGGAGAGCCGCTGCTGAGGGCAGCTCAGCAACTTGGTGCTCAAACAGTCATTCACCTTTTCTGTGGTCCCACCTCTTTCATCCTAGCTCTAGGTTCTCACTTAAAATGGTCTCAAGAAAGAACCTACATGCAAAGAGTGTTTACCTTAAAGCTGTATTCCTTTCCTGAGCCACTCCTACCCGTACCTTTTCTACAAGAACTGGGACAAGAATCACCAAACCCCAAGGCACAGCTCCTGGTTCTGGAGAGGGGTTTAGTACTCACTGGCCAGTCCTTTTACGATGTCCAGGGCATACTGGCTGAGATCTAGAGTCACTGATGCCAACAAACTGGAGATAGCTATGGGGGCAGAAAGCACAGACTAAATTAGCTTCACGCATCAACATCCAGTTACCTTAGTCACCAGCTAATTCCATGCGGCCCAATGTCTAGACAGATGGAAACATGACCACTCTTCAACCTCTGAGGGCCACATGAGTGATCAGACCTTTGTCTCAAAGCTCTGCTGAATAACTATACAGTTCCTTCACAATCAACTGAAAACTGCCTGACATGCCACCTCCTCCTTTCACCAACAGTAGGGGCAGAGACCAAGGCTCGTGCCTGTGGGTTAAAGTGTCACTTCCACACCAAGCTCTTCTAGAGCAGTCCAAGGTTCTCAACCTAAATGGGCCCCAAAGATGGTATGCAATACTCTAAATGGATATACGGTTGTATGTTCTCCAACAAGAGGATCCATGCCTTTCAACATCTTCTCAAAAAGGCCCCGATCTCTCTCCTAAGGTTCCAGCAGGGGTAGAAAGATCTATTGAAACACTCCCCTATTGCCAAGTATTGGGGTACAGCTCACCCAGCATCTGTCTCTCCCTCCCCCCCGGTTCTGTAGGGTAGCAACCTACTTTCAACAACATTCTCAGGACTCCTCAATAAGGACTTCTGTATGGTGGGCAAGATTAGATCCTTAAATTCCGAGTGGGACATGTATCGGAGCAAAGGGGCACAGCTATCCTACAAAGAGAAAGGAGTCAGGCATCCGGCCCTCATGGACCAGACAAAACAAAAGGGCAACCCACCAACCACAGAATTTTCTACAGGACTTAGCATGTCCAGGCAACTCGCTCCACCTCTCGCTCACCAACAGATGCTTCTGAGGCTTGACTTTGCTCGTCAAAATGTTCTTCATATAAAAATCCAGAAGGGCACTCTGGAGAAAACAAAGAGCTCATGAGATGCTGACATTTCTAAGGATCTGATCCTGACTGCCTCCAAAACACACAAATCAATGCCCCACTTTCAGAGTTGAGCACAGAGCTGCCACTATCATGACATTCCCCATTCAAAACCCTCGTAGCTTTCTACTGTGCCCAGGGTGAAGTCTAAACTCCTTGGCATGGTTTGTAAGGCCAGCTGCATCTAACACCTCTTACCCATTCACACCCTCCAACCCTATTCGTCTCTTCTACATTCCCTCCATAAGCTGCTTTCTCTGTCTGAAGTACCCTTCTTACTTTAGCACTTTGCTAATTCCGACTCACCCTTACCATAGCACAGCCACTGCTGTGAAGACCAATTCAACTCAAACTAACCCCACATGTGCCGAGTGGAATTACTCCAAGGCTGGACCCTTTCAGAGCAGACTGCCAGACCTTTTTTCTGAGGTACTTCTGGGTAGGTCTGCCCTACTAACCTTTCTGTTACTTGTCAACCACTTACACGTTTACGCCACTCACAGACTCCAATTTACCCATAGGGTCCTTCAGTGGAGATGCAGTCCATGACCCATGGCCTAAGCCAGGCCCCATCATTACAAAGCACCACAGCTACCTGCCTGCTCCTTGATAGCTCAACCACAGCTCTAATTAACCATGTCATGTCAGTCATGTGAGTCATGTCAGTCGCCCGCTCCAAACTCAAGTTCCACAAGAGTTGTGACAGCCTTGCTCAGGGCAGCTCTTCAGCATCCAGCACATTGCTTGGCACATGGTAGCCACTCAACTGTGGGTGACTGAATGACAGACTGTATGCTGAGCAAACCACCACCCCACCCAGTAGCCAGCTTCCACCCCCAGCCAGAGATGGAAGGAGACCTCTCCACCTCCTCAACCTGCTGGCACCAAGGTGGTAGGTAGGCATGGGTCTCAATCAACAGCTCTTGTTTCTGATGAGGCAGTAACTGGGGCCACCAGAACTTACACGTGTTCTTACTTCATCCCTCCAAGAAGGCCGCCCACCCTCCACACTCACCTTATGTCGGCTGACCACCTCCATCTCCTTCTGGTTTGTGCAGAACTGTACCAGCAGTCCCAGCATGCCCGCATAATTCGGGTTGGGTTCAAGACTGAGAATGGCCGACAAGTACTGTTCTACCAGCCCAGAGTTCTGAGAGAAAGTGTAAAGCAGGGTCATCAGTGGGGAGCAGGGGGCAGAGGGAGCAATGACCCCCAGGGCCTGCCCACTCCTGTCACCTCTTTCCAGAGTTTGGTGAGCTTCTTCACAGCGCCATTCACGGCATGCCTATGGGAGCCACCCAGCACCTCGAGCAGCAGCAGGCACTGCGCCTCCACCTGCCGGGACCAGGAAAGACTCTTGTCAGGGGTGACATGGGAGCAGGGTGCCCGGGCCTCTCTCAGCTCCCGGCAGAGCCCCCTCCCCCTAGCCCCACGCTCAGCCCTGTCCTTTAATTAGAGCCCTTCAGTCAGAGGCTTATGATCTGAAAAGTGTGATCTGTGGAGTGCCTCCTATGAGTCAGACGATCAAGCTACCTGGGAATAAGACCGACACAAAGCCTGAGTTCAATCAAGCAGGGTGAAGTCACCCACAGGGAATAAAAGACACTCAGCCCACAGCCAGGTGGATAGATCGTTTTAGAGACGAGCTCAGCAGGAGGAGAACAAGGATCCTGATATACACACTCCTTTATCTTCCATGACATTTGCCTTCAGTCCTTCCATAAATATTTACTAAAACACTGTACTAGGCACCATGGATGTAGACATGAAGAACAACATAGGGTTCCCAGCTTGTGCGAGGCAGGGTAAAATACCTAGCAGGTGCTCAACTACAAAACCTCAGAGACATTATGTGCCACAAATGCCCCCAGAACCCTGGTGAGCAGTGTAACCTGCTATCTTGGGAAAACGGCTCTGCCTAAGAGGTCTGTCACATTTCATCTGTGTGTGTACAAAATAGCATATGTACAGTTCTTCATTACAGTTTTGTGGTAACAATACAGATGGCACACAACATAACTAAGCCTCAGAAAACCTATAAAGGGTCACTGTGAGAAGGAACCGACTCGACAGTACTCAACAACAACATAAGTGGTGTCACCAGTGGGAGCTAGCCATATACACCACGGTACGTCTACTCAAAGGACTCAGAGTTGTAAAGGTGAGAAATTCCTTACGACTTCAGAATGAATTCCAGAATTAACTTTCTAATGGTGCAGAAAAAAGCGCAATGAGTATTTATGTTGAAAACAAAAATTTGACACACTGAGAAATGTAACCAATTATCAATGAAAATGTGAAGAAATGGTTCAATGAGAAACTGTGTAACTTTCATCTTAAACACAATAGTATTTAAAACATGAAATGTACAGAGAATAGATCAGGAATGACACAGAAGAGACCAGTGATGGCCGAAGTAGATGGCTGGGGGCAGGAGTGGGAGGAAAACTGTATATCTTTCTATACCTGTTGAGTTTTGTAGCATTTTTTTTTTTAAACTGTCATTCAAACACCTTTTTTCTACAGGGTACCACCATGCCCTCCTCCTGGAGTGTTCCAACTTGATCTGGGAAGGCTTGCAGGCTTGAGGCCTTCAGGGCTCTGCTTAGAGGACACCTGCTCCACCGTCCCCTCGACCCTCTGTCCCTGATTTTCTCAAGGCTTACTTTACATTGTTACTGCTTATCTGTTGACTTATTTATTATCTATTCCATAGGAATGGAAGCTCCATACAGCAGCTGCTTCCTCTGCCTGTTATTGCTTTCTCCTCAGCTTTTAGAATGGACCAGAGGCCAGCACCAAACTGAACAACTCAATGAACCACAAATTGGGTGGATGATCATCACATCAGCAGAGCAAAAGAAACAAAACCAGGTTAAGGACACAGGAAAAAACACCAGCAACAACACAGTCTGAAGCCCTTGATGCACTCTGCCCCATAAACACAACCCTTCCCCTACATGAACCCCTCCCCTACATTATGTGAGACACATACATACTATTTACCAGTAAACACAGTGTGCATCTCACATAATGGCTATGAGATTTCACTCAAGATAAGTTAATGGATGAACTATCAAATGAGAAGGTCTATTGCCTTAGGACTCGTCAAATGGCCTAACACAGTTCACAGTTTATGTTCTCCATCCTAGTTTGAGGAGTAGGGTCTGGAGCAGCCATCTAAGACACAACTACTGGTCTCTACTTGTCCAGAGGAAAAGAGAATGGAGGAAACCAAAGACTCCAGAAAGAACTAGTCTACAGGATTAACCAACGGTCTACAGGCACCACGGCCTCACCCACCCTGAAACCAGAAGAAACCGAATGTACCCAAACGGACTATGCTGGACAGGGCCATAACAGATGGAGTCTGAGAGAGAAGAGGGAAAAACAAAACTCAAAATTCTTAAAAAACTCCACACTTGCTGACCTAGGTAAGACTAGGAGACTGCCCCAGACTACGCTGTTGTCGCTGCAGTCAGTTCTGACTCACAGCAACCTTGCATAGGATTCCTAAGAGCGGCTGGTGGGTTTGAACTGTCAACTTTGTGGTTTTACCAGTCCAGTAATTATCCTACATTGCCACATCAGGCTTTAATTCATGAACCGAAACTATCCCAAGGTCACCTTTTAACTAAATAACAGGAGCAACTCATGAAAATAAAAAACAAAACCCGAATACTGTGCTCCTTTAAACAATACCACCTTAACATTTTAACATCTGGCGGGGTGCAGTAGGAGTACCACAGGTCCACGAACTACAAAGTCAGCAGTTCAAACCCACCTGCCACTCCTCGGAAAACGTATACAGTGTGGCTTGAGTTGGAACCAACTCAACAGAACTTAACAACATCTAGTCAGAAGATGCATATGGTATTGTATTTTGTTGTTGTTTTTCTTTAGCTTATTAACCCTAATGGTTTTAGCAGCACTGGGCTGGGGTAGGAGGCAGCCAGATGAGGCAGAGGACAGGGTTCTGGGTGCTGACTGCTCCAGCTATTTAGGCAGGAGAAGTGGTGGGAAGAGCTGGGTACTCACTTCCTCCACCTCCCTTCTTCCAACTCCTGCGAGAACAATAGCGGGGCAGCAGAGGTGACAAGAATAAACAAAAGCAGCTTTCCTAGTGCTCACACTAGGTCCCAATCACATAACAGCCCATCTTACAAAGCATATGTTGTTAAATGCAGTCGAGTCAGTTCCAACTTATAGTGACCCTGTACAAAGTTTCTGAGGAGCAGCTGGTGAGCTTGAACCATCAACCTTGCGGTTCAAACCAACTTTGCAATCCAGCACATTAGCCTGTGGCGCCACACCAGTATATGTTACACAGAACATAAAGTGGAAATTAAGTAACGAATACCTATCTCTGTTGTTGTTAAGCGCCATGGAGTCGGTTCCAACTCATAGCGACCTGTACAGGGTTTCCGAGAAGTAGCTGGTGAACTTGAACCACTGACTTTGCAGTTCAAACTGACTTTGAAGTCCAGTGCATTAGCCCAGAGCACCACACCAGGACTCATACCTATCTCTAGATAAAACCAAATGAGCAACAATCACCCTAAAAGTGAAGCTAAGTCAGTAAGGGGACAGGGAAACAACTTTATTGGAAATGGAACTACCAGAATGGAATTAATGAGAACACTGAAATGTACCCAATGCCAGTGAAAAATGTACCCAATGCCAGGGAAAAATCTGTGCAGAAATTCATAAATGAGGACCTAAACTACTAAGGAGATGCTCACTGTAAACACAATACAGGTAGACTTCGGAGATATTACGTGCTTGGTTCCGACCATTGCAATAAAGCAAGTATCGTAATAAAATTAGTCACGTATATTTTGGTTTCTCACAGCATCTAAATCTTTACACTATACCACAGCCTGTTAACGGAGCCCTGGTGACAATGTACGATAAGCACTGGACTGCTAATTGCAGGGTCAGCAGTTCAAACCTGCCAGCCACTCATATGAAGAAGGATGAGGCTTTCTGCTCCCGTAAAGAATTACAGCCTTGGAAAACCCTACAGAGGGACTGGCTCAATAGCAGTGGATTTGGTTTGGTTTGGGTAGTTTAGTAAGTGTGCATAAGCATTATGAAAAAGTTTAAATTATTATGAGAATAATAAAAACATAACAGAGTAATACAAAGTAAGCACATGCTACTGGAAAAATGGTGCCAAAACTAGAGGGTTGGACACCTTAGCTCAGGTGACAGAGAGGGAAATGTACGAGGGCGGGGAGGGCAATACATAAGAGTAGGGAGGGTAGTAGATGAACAATGAAGACAGTGGAAGGGGGAAGACTTAGGTAAGCATGGGCTAAATGGGATCTAGGTAAACAGTGATTGATATACAACCTTGGAAAAACAGTGTTCTGTGAACAGATACATGAATCGAAACAAAGACTAAATGGGTACCCTCCATACACAGAGTAGACAGGGATGGGCAACTTGGACATTGGCTACCCAAAATGGGGTCTTCAAAGACAAGAAGTGACTGGCTTACAAGCTTTCAAGAGGGAATCTAGATCCAGAGTGCATGGAGGAAGGTAGAATCTTCACTGAGTAGTATCCAATCTGTCTAGGCGGGGCTGATGAAAAGAGATGGGGATAGGTCTCTTGTGATACAACAGTGAATAATTGCTATAAGGACTGACTGTGAGGGTTGGAAATGTAAAGGTAGATGTTTTGTAGCAAGGAGGGGAGTGATTAACTTTGCAGTCTGGGAGTGGAGGTCCCTGGGACCATCAAGGGAGAAGAGCGGAGAGCAGGACCCTACCCAGAGAAGCAGTGACGCCAGAGATGGAGGCAGACACGATGACGTGGAGAGATGGAGAGGCTGGGGACTTTAGACTCAGAGAGGGAAAGGGGCTGTGTGCTGATGAGGGCAGCTTGTGGGTATACCCTTTGGTTAGCTGATGATGCATGGAGGGGATTGTAACCATGGCAATGAAACAATATACAATATGATGAATGTAAAACTAATGTTCTCCCATGTAAAGTATCACATAATTCACAACATTAAAAAAAAAAAGACTAAATGGATAAAAGAGCGGAATAAAGGTTTACGAGCTTGACTGTCTTACAGATATTGGTTTCTCCTGCCTACTATTATAAATATTTACATGTGATAGAAATATATATTGGGACTTATAACAAAAAACATATACGCCCACCTTCAGCCAACAACTGACTAGATTTGCTAAAAGGGGAAATAGAATTTTCCTAGGAAAATAGGCTTCCTGTTAAGCCTTTGCAGAGTATGGGGGCTTAGTTGGAATTCTGAGCCCCACTCAGAACTTTCCGAGTTGGGACGTTCCCTCTTCAAAAGACAGGCAGACCAATCCAGAATGGCTGGGGGACAGAAGATTCTTACTGAAAGACATGCAGAAAAAAGCAGACTGGCTGTTTGAATATTAAGCAAGCTGTTTGCTTTGAAGGCATCAAGGAAAGAAAATCAGCCATCAGGGAAAATCCCCTTGTAGGACCGAAACTCCAAGGGAACCCGTGAGCAGTACAATATGCTCACCGGTGATCAACTGGGTCTACTTGTGAATGGAAGGAGGGAAAATGCAGCAATGAAGACATGAACTGAGTTTGACCATGTTCCAGTGGCACCCAATGACCCTGAGATGAGAAAGAGAAGAGGAAGGGCTGACTGGTCTCAAGTTTAGGAAGATGTGTGAACACCTGACCCCAAGAGCACTGACCCAGTCCCTGGGGGCTAGGGCTGAGAGGGATGTGGTCAGCTTATCTGAAGTGCAGGAAGGTGTGCGTGAACTCCCAAACTTGCAGCTAGTACCCATGTGACCCAGCTTAGATGACCAGTTGAGCAGAACTTGAACCAAGGAAGATAAAGATACTACGGAGATCAAGTGCAAATTGCTATAATCTAACAAAACAGACTTTTGCCTATGAATGCAGTGACTCAAAATTCCAACAGGAATAGAAGAATTCTTTGTATCAGGGAACAACCTTGTTTCCTCAGTTTACTGGGTTGATAAAGACAAGAAATTTAGACACTGGCTATCAAAAATGTGTGTGTGTGTGGGGGGAGGATACAAAGGTATGAAGCAGCTGTTTTCATGAGTATGTTCAGTTGCAGAATGAGGGGGATACGGTGGAGTCCCCCATGAATAGTTTCCCTATTTCCCAGATGGATCTGGTGAAAGGGGTGGGGGAAGACAGTGATAGGATTTTATGACACAATTTTAACTGTCAGAAGGATGCATTATGATCGTCACAACTGCAATTGTAGGAGATGTGTAACTGTAAGGAGGGAGTACGTAATCTTTCATTTCAGGAACAGACGATTCCAGGATCATCAAGCAAGAAGAGCATGAGTGGAGCGTGAGATCCCTACTTAGAAAAGTGGTGACCACAGAAAAAAAGTGGTGGTGTATCTGTGCGCAGGTGACAGACTGGGCCCCTGTGACATGTAAACAGAGATCTATTTTTTTGTTTTGTAAGTGTACATCAAGAAAAA